CTTTATAAGTGTACTGGTTGATTGCCTGCTTAATGTGATGAATATAAAGAGGGCTTATTCCAAGGGGGCTGATGCAACAAGAAACTAAAAGCTTGTCCTCGTACTTTTTAAGCAAATTGTATCTAACTTTATCAGAACATTGAGAAGTATCAGCGGCATAAAACCTATCATTACCAGCTAATGTGCTATTGTTTAAGGGAAAATAGATTTAATCATACATAACAAAATCCAATTTTTTATAATTTCGTACAATTTACGACATTTAGGATGCATAGCTTTCTTCTGCTGATGGCTACGATCTGGACGATTTGTTTTTTTGAAAGTTTTAATGTTAGTCATTGTTTTTAATACTTGGAAAATTCGAGTTTTACAGTTAAAAACTTGAGCTACTTACTTTTGAGAGCACCCTGACTTATTTTCAAAAAATGAAGCAATCTTTGGAATATTTTCTTTAATAGCTATCTTAGCGATTCGACCACTTCCAACTTTTCTTTTTAGAGATCCAGTCTCCAATTTTACGATTTATTGTAAGCAGTTGATCTAGGTAACCCCCATTCCATAAACTGCTTAGCAACAAACGCTTCACCTTTTTCTCGATTTTTTTGAAAATAATTTCCATCATTTTTTCGAGGTCCTTTACTTTAATCATTTTATTTTTAATATTTAAATAATATTTTTAAATTAATTGAATTAAATTTAAATAGATTATAAAATCCTCTTTTACATAAGTCAAAAGGTTTTTTGCTTGCATATAAATTACAATAAAAACACTTATATAATTATACCTTCGACAACTTGTTTCACCATCAGTAGGTTCATCAGGAAGCTTCCTATCGAAGATATAATTTGATAAGTGTTTTTACTAATTTATTATTGCTCCGTTCTTTAAGAACATTGAGTACTCACTATTTGTAGAATACACTAACATAATTTTATATATATATATATATATATATATATATATATATATATATATATATATATATATATATATATATATATATATATATATATATATATATATATATATATATATATATATATATATATATATATTATATATATATATAACTGCTATGAATTGCATGAATGATGAAAGGTTTATCATTTATTCAATTCAAATTGACGATATAAAAACAATTAATATAATTAACGGTGACAAGTTTTCAAATAAATAATATTCTCAAACTGAAAGAAACTGTCTTAGCGTACGGATATAAGTTCAGCGGACTATACTTGATTGGACAAATTTTACATTATTAGTTGTTCATACCCAGTGGGCACGCGTCGTCTGGGGGACGTACAGACGTCTGTAATATATATATATATATATATATATATATATATATATATATATATATATATATATATATATATATATATATATATATATATATATATATATATATATATATATATATATATATATATATATATATATATATATTATATAATATATATATTTCAATTTGATGGAGTATTTATATGAAAAATTTATTCGATAAATATCAATTAAATTTTTTAAATTATTTGTATACTAAATAAGCGTTTGTTTTTAGAAAACAATTTTTTTTTTTGCTGGGTGTGCAACTGTTGTGTGCAAGCTGTGCTTTTTCTATGAATCAAGAAACATTTTAACTTTGAGCGGAGATTTCCAAATATGTGACCAAATTGTACTTCTCTTATAAGTAAAAATGAATTTATCTTCTTATATCATTTAAAAAGAGAAACTTAACCAAATTTAATCACTCTCTGAAAGTTTAAAGGTCTTTAAAAACGCGGGTAACTAGGGCATCTAAATACGTCATCGACAATTTTTAATGAATATATGTTTCAGAAAACAATTTTTATAAAAATTATAAAATAATAATTATAAACAATTGGTATTTTTTGTTCATTTAGCGCCATTTAACACTTGTCTCTGTTAAATAACAAATATCACGGGTTATTCAAACCAAATGATTCATTCAAGCTTAAAGCTAATTATTAGACTATCAAGATAAATTCGTTGACGTCAAGTTGAAAAGAAGATATTATCTCTATATGAAAAGTCAACAGAGTCAAGGACTCGTTTGTGGTCAATTTGATATAAAAGTCAAAACTTGCACTTTTATATTAAATTTTATATAAATATTTGATAGGGAATATAACATTTATTTTATATTCCCTATCAAAAATATTTAATAAGGAATATAAAATAAATGGATATTCTTTAAAAGAATATTGTATCATATCATATCATCGATATTGTTGTTTTATCAAAACGGCAATATCTTTAAACAACTTAGGATTATTTAATGTTATTATGACGATATTTTCAACGACGGTTCAATGACGATATTTTTCATATATTTATATTTGAGAAAATTTGACGATATTTTATTTGAGAAAAATAGCTTACAAAGTTTTATAACATCTTCTTTTTTGAAATTTTGTTGACAACTGCGATATTTTTAATCTATTGAGTATAAAAAATTTATTGAAATTTTATAATAACAGTTTGACCTGTCAAAGGTAAGTACATCAGAAATAAATATAACAGCTTGTGTTACTGTAAAAGGATCTGTGAGATTAAATTAAAAAAAAAATTCTTGGTACCTATGAAAGTTATAAATATATAATTCTGCGTTTTCTAGTTCAAATTCGATATTCATTGACTTGTGTTAAGTCTTAGCACAATGTTTATTGACTTGTGTTAAGTCTTAACACAATATTTATTGACTTGTGTTAAGTTTATTGGCTTTAACGAAGATTCAACGTCAATTTTTATAAAGATTTGAACATTAAATTTATTTTTTTTATCATTTCGCTTCCAACAAGGCTGCAAGCAACCACTAATTAGAGTTTGAAGTTACTGGAATATAAAAGATAAAGATTGTAGAGCAAGATAACGATTAACAGACTACTTAAAGGATTGCAAATTATATGAATCAAATATGTTACAAAGGTTTAAACGTTGGTTGTTACAATGATTTAAACGTTGATTGATATGGATTGCTTTTAATACCTTTATCTTAATAAAGGAAATCATTTTAAAAAATAATTACCTTGATAAAAAGAAAACCAATTGTATAATTTTTGGAACTGCAGAAAAAATTAATACATCTTCTTGTTTTAAAAAAGCAAGAAAAACACTAAATATAAGTGTTTAGCAGCTACTTTGGACCTTAATCTTAATACTTAAATCTTTCATCTAATTTTTAATATTCATATAAAAAGTTTTAAATTAAAAAATTAAAAAGAGGAACTAATAAGATTTAATCATTTGACTTCAAAAATAGCATTTGAAAAGCTGGAGAGATAAGACAATAGACAATAGAGGTTATGGATAAAAGTATGGGGCTATTAGAAAAAAAAATTGAAGTACTTATCAATGGTACCTATCAAAATAGAAGAAAAGATTCCGTTCTAAATTTGATTGCAGATTCAATAACAAAAATGTTTTATCAATGAAAAAAACAAAAAAAGAAGGAAGACATTACTGCTATTTCTGAACCGGGTAGTAGGGTACAAAAAAACCAGCCAAAGAAGCTGAAATAAGAATTTTTACTGGAATGGTTCCTAGAGAAACGAGAGATAGTTTTAAGAGAATGTCTTTATCACCGTCAGAAAAAAGCAAATCGTATAACCAATTTTGCTTACTCATTGTATTATCATGTCTTGCTCATTCAACGAAATGAGAATACTTAATTCAACGAAATGAGAATACTTAATATATTTGAAGTAAACGTGTTCGATGTTTTATGTTTTGTATATATATTGAAAAAAAATTTAGCTATTAATGTTTTAAACTTTTTTTTTTTAAACTTTACTTTAAAACCTTACAATAAATATACCCTAAAAAATAATGATCTGCTAAACCAAATTTTTTATTGAACCAAGTCTTATCAGTTTTGTATTGATTACCATGCACCATATCTTTGGAATGATTATTATTTTTCAAAATTTTGATTTGCCTTCTTCTTTCCTTGCTTTTAAAATCTTAAAAATTTTATTTGTTCCGAGGACAACGTTTTTACATACTGCTAATAGTATCATTTTGAAATTGATAACCCTATTTTTATTAAGAATTATTTATTTAACTGTTAATATTTAACTGTTAATTTTTAAGAAACAGCTTATTTAATGTTCTGACAAGATCTTCGTGATCTTTTTTTCAGTAATCTTGTAAACAAAAAAACAAACATACAAAACAACAACAAAAAAAGAATCATAACATATCAAACATAAATTAGTTTAGACTCTACAAAATTTAAAAACAGAGTGCGGTTTGGAAAATAGATTAACAGTTCGATTAAAGAAACTTATTGGAAGAAAATATTTTTCGTCAATTTTCACGTTTGTTTGTTTTTTCACAATGCTAATGGCAGTAGTTGACAAAACTACTTTATGTTATCAGATTGCAAATTTTGTTGGATTGACGCTTCACTAAGTTGTTATTTTTTACATTAATAGCTATTACTAAAATCAATTTAATCGCTAAAAACTATTAAATATTAAAACTGAAAAATGAAAACAAAAAAGTTGTAATGGGGTTTAAGTTTCTGAAAAATTTGAACTGTTTTTATCTTAGAGAAACTTTTGGGTCGGTTTTAAAAGCATGTTTGAATTTGTGACTTTTTTTAAAAAAAGAAAGCTTATACACTTTTTTTAAAAAATTAAGGAATCTTTTCTAAAATTAGAGTATACATATAAAAATTTTTTTTGTATTCGTTTTGTAGGTTTTATTTAAAATCATTAAATTAAAATTAACTTTTATTTGATTTATTTATCATGAATTTTGAATTAATTGATTTGACGCAATGCTGAGCAATCACTGGAAGAATGTGAAACAAGAATGTGTTAACAAGGAAACAGCTACCTACAAGGCCAAATACTAAAACTTTGTTTTTTGAGATATTAAAATCCAAGAAAAAAAAATCCGAGATTTTCTCTTTTTCGGAAAATTTTACATACCAGTTTATTTAAATATTTATTTTTAGATATGCTATGCGTTGATTTGTAAAAGTAAATCTTTTTTGTTATAGATTTATAAAAATATATAAAAAAGATATTATTAACTTTAAACGATGAAAAAATTGAATGTACTAACTAGTTACTTTAATGCATTGAGGGAAAATCAAAATTATAAAAGTTTATCAGAAGATGAAATTTATGCTGAACTCAATAAAATGGAATTGTAAGAAAACTTTTTTGTTCGTTTATTTACTTTTACTTTATTTTTTTTTTTTTTTTTTTTTTTTTTTTTAGGTTAATTTTTTACTTTTTTTTTTTTTATCACTTTAATTTTTTATTTTTTATTTTTGGTTTACTTTTTTTTTTAATTTATTTATAATTATTTTGTTTTTTTATTTTTGGTCAGTTCATTATTTGATGCTTTTTCTGATTTTCCTGATTTTTACATATTTTTTGCATTATTTAAATAAGTCTGTATTATATAAGTTTGCGCTTTTTGTTAAGTTCTGAATTTATAACATAAAATTATAGAGTGGACCCCTCAAATTTAAAATGGTAAAAATAAAAAACTTTCAAACCTTTTATTTTAACAAGTGTTTTATTTTTTTGAGAGGAAAACCTCAACTTTAGAAAAAAATTCGAAGAATGCTAAAAAATAGTAAACTAAAAGTACATGTAGTATTTTTCTGTTTATCGACAAGTCTTTAAAAATTAAGTTTTCTGATTAGTTACTATTGTCTAATACAAAGAGACAAAATATAAATATCTTGCCTAAATATATATTTAAAAATATATTGTTCATTTGCCTGGAGAGTAAAGTTTTTAGCCTTTTTGAGATAGCTCATAAGTTTTTCTAACAGTGTTGACTTAAGTTTAACATATAACACCGTTAAGCCCAACATTCTAAAAATTCAAACATTTTTAACTTGTTATGTTTGAAAAAAAAATGTTTTTTTGATAACCCTATCTTTTAATTATCAAGGGTTTCCTTCTAACCTGCCTGTTTTGTTGGCCCATGTGAGGGGTGTAACTTATTATAAGTCATTTGCTAAAAAAATGTCATGGTTGGAAACCTCCAAAATTATTATTTTTTAACAAAGTCAATCTCAAAAGTTGCAAGCAATTATTAATTAAGTTGGAGTTTAACAGAAAACAAAGAAGAGAGCTGAAGAGGAAGAAATCAGTTGACAGAAGACACACTCACCAGTAAAAATATTATTGTCTGACAGATAAAGAGAAATGGCTTGATCAATTTGATCAGAAACAACATTGAAAAGATTACAGTTTTGGGAAAAAAGGGAAACAAAGACCAAAAAAAAAGATGATTGAGCGAAGAGGAGCTAAATGAAAGTACATAAAAGAATAGTTAAATGAATCTGATTTAGCAAAATACAGGGGAATTTTTATGTAACTATTTGCCCATGCCAAGCATGCAAAAACGCTTTATATATTTTATTATTTATATATTTTCCAGCTGTTGATGGAATCATCCTTTTTGAGAATTCCCTGACCACATAATTCAAGAAACTTCACTATCAGTTGTTCTTAGAGCCATTAAACTTAGTTTTGATGTTGTACCTTTATTAATAAATTACAGGAAGAGTGACCATTACCAATGGGGAACAACTGACAACCAGTTAGTAGTGTCATAAAGACAATACTAACTGGTTTAACATTCATCTTCCTGACAAGAAACAATGTAACAGGTTTACATCAATGCCAGCTTTTTGGAAAGAGAAAGTGTGTGATGCTGGTTAAAAAAGGTTTTCTGCTTACTCATAAAAACCCCTTTGCCTCTCTGGTCTTTATACTGGGCAGGGGCTCATATAAAGGGGCAATAACTATTTAGAGCCTTTAAATATTGTTCAAAGAGATACTTTTAACATTTACACAATTGAGAAGTCTTTTTAACAAAAAAATTTATGGTCGGCTGTAAATGGTAACTTGAAAGCATATGTATGCCATATGCTTACTACTCTCTTTTATGGGATAGTGCTGGTGCATTCCATATGTTGCTATAATGCTTATAATCCTGAAAAATATGCTAAGTATAAACAAACGCCCCACTATATATGTGGATGAAAGTTTCACATGGGCCATATGTGGGAAAACATATCAACTAGTCTAATGACTTGTTTATTTATGTCTGCTTATTTTGAACTATTCTAGCCACATATTACTTAAAAAACTTTAGGAACCAAATGGCAAACTTTATGAATTACTTTATAATTTTATTCAGAAATACATAGATACATACAAAAACTTTTTACAAAATTTATAATTTATTTGTTTTATATTTGTTCAATACACCACCATAATCTGATGATTTATGTAATAAAATGCTGATGGTCTCTTTAACCTTTTGTCTAACATTTTTACATTACCTGCAACACAGTAGCTGAAAAAAGTTTCATATAAAATCCAAGCATAAATAAAATAAAATAAAAAAATCAATAACAATACTAGTTTGTCTGCTCCTTTAGAATCTTTTTCCTGCTCTTTCTTGCATTAAGATGTTTTTCTTTTCATTTAATTAAAACTTTGATATTTACAATCTTTATCTTGGATTTATCTTTATCAAAAATTTATCTTGGATAAAAGCTCTAAAAAATATTAATTACGAAGTCCACCTGTGATGGACTTTGTAGTTATTATTTTTTAGAGCTTTAGAGACTAACAAAAATTATTTAATTTAACTATTTTATTTTTCAAGGAAAGAGTTCACCAAAAATTTCCCTAATATCCAATCAGCATTGTTGGTGTCAATATTCAATTTATGCAAGTATCTTCCAGCATGTGAAAAATTTTAAAGTTACTGCTTAATAATGCTACACAAGCTTTTAAACAGTTTTATTAGGATGAGAATTGTTGATGGGATATATTGTTTAAGAGGTAGCTAAAGCTATGAAAGAAAAAGAAAAATTGTGAGGTAAATATATTGCAGCTGATTGCTTAAGACACAAGGTACTTTGAGCTAAACATAGGTTTGTTATTAAAAAAGATTATAAATAAAAAGCTTGTAATGTATTCTAAATTTTACTTAAAGATTCTGCATGTTTATGTCAATAGTAAGCAAAAAGTCAAAGAATGTCTTTGTTCGATTGAAGCTAACAATGGCACTATTACAATAGATATTTACACAATCTGCTCCACCATTAAAAACTATTTTCAGTCTGACTTTAAAATTGAACATGAAGGCAGTAACATAAAACCAACATTTGACGATTGTACTCATAATTGATGAAAATTGGTTCACAATTGAAGACATTCAAAATCACCTAAGTAATCTTGAAGAAACTAAATTAGCTGACATAGACAGAATACACCCATGGATAATTTTTACTTAACTGTAACAATCTGCTTATATATTTTTAAACTAATCTGTAATAATACAGGTAACTTCTGTTTGCTACTTATAAGATTCTTTTAAAGTTTTAACACAAGTTTTATATAAGAAATACAACAAAATAAAAAATGATATACATTTGTGCCTATAATTCATCTTTATCTTCTTTCTTGTTTGAACCTGGTGTTGGGCTTTCCCCTATTTTACCTTCATTATTATGTTTTACTTACACTAGGAGTAGCAACCTTCTCTAATTTCTTTTAAAGTTATCTAATTTTATCATTTAAAAATTGAGAGTGTCGACGTTATAGTTTTTATAATATTATAGTTTCTATGAAAGTTTGACATTGCAAACTTATTTATATAATGCAGAAAATAATATGTAAACATCATGAAAATTATATGTGGTGTGGGTACTACTTCAAAAGGCCATTTGTTGAAATATAAACAAACCGTATTTTTTTAATATTTTGCTTGTTTGTTTTTCTTTACACATTAAAAAAAAAAAAAATCTATTATTTTTCTTTACCCATTTATTGTATGTTTTTTTCTCTTATTTTTTCTTTTTTCTTTATGTTTATTGTAATACCATTTGTAATTACATAATTAAATATGCTTGTTTGACTATGGTTTTTATCATTTACTCAGTTAAATGTGAATCATTTTTTATCAAAGACATGCTTCTTCAAATCCAATTTAAATTTTTCTGAGGAGAAAAGTTGTCTAGATTTTATATTTTTAGGTACCGATTTGAAAAAGTGTTAGATCTTCCAGAAAACTTTGTTAGTGATGTAATATTTAATCTTACAAATACAAAACTTTTGGACAATGAAAAAGAAAAGGAAATTATAGATTACTTAAATAAATCACTGGTATTTTTACTTATATAAAGACTAGAGGTCTTTATATAAATTTAATTTTCAGTTTAAAAAAATGTTTTTTTTTTCATTTATTTATTTGGAATTAGAAAATTTGATTTTTCTAATTTAAATTGGTCATTTATGTATAATTTTTTATAGTTTTAAATTGTATTCAGGTTAATGGTATAGCAAATCTTCGATTAATTTCAAAATGTCTTCGATATCTACTACGAAAAGTTAGTTTCTTTAACGTTTTATTCTATTATTTTCATTCAACTAAAGAATGCTATGTGTTGTATTTACGTTAAAATCTTTTGCGTTTTTCTTCTAGGTATTTTTGAACTCATAATATATTATATTATGTTATGTTTTGAACACATAATATATTATATTATGTAAGAATATAATTTAGGAAACAGATTGTCACAATGCGCTGATTGTCATAGATGTTCAGAATGATTTTATCTCAGGAAATTTGTCTTTAAAGAATTCTCCTGCTGGTCAAGATGGTGAAGAAGTTGTGAATATTATCAACTCTATATTGGATTTAAAACTTTTTTGCTCAGTGTATTACACATTAGACTGGCATAAAGAAGACCATTGCTCATTTGTTAACAATGTTAAAAAATATCCTCTTCATGAATCTTTCAGATCTATGGATAACCCTGAAGTATTTACAAAGGTTATTTATGATGGTGAAATACCAAGAGAGCAGGTCCTTTGGCCTTCTCATTGCATACAAAATTCTTCTGGAGCAGAATTACATCCAAATCTCAAAGTAAATTTTTTTATGAGACTAAATAGGAAGTATCTTTAATATTTTCTTCCTTTAATTTTTTTTCCTTTTTGTTTTGCTAAATAACAAAAAATATTTCTTATTAGTTATATTCTTTTTTGAAAATTGAAAATAGTTTTTTCATTGTTAAAATTACGCTTTTTTAGGCAAACAAGTTTTAAATAATTTTTAATAAAATTGTGTTGAGTGCTTTATGTATATCTATTATAATTTGCTTGCAAATTACTAAAAAATATTTATTTGCCCATTCTATTTCTATTACTTGAAAGATTACAGGGTTCTCTTTAACTAATATTGCACAAATGGTTTTTTTTCTTTGTAAGTCCGTAAAATTAATTAATTGAAAGCCCCGACGAATAGAAATGAAATATTATTGCATGATAATATGGATTTTTATTTTGAGTGTACTCACTAAATCTAGAACAAAGAATAAAAAAACTAAGAAATTTGTAATTAGTGTTTGTTACTCAACTCACTGATTTAAACTGTACCAATTGTTCACACTTCAACAATTGTTATACAATTCAATAATTGTTACACAGTTCTACAATTATTACCCAATTCAACTACTCTAATTACAACTGCATTTTTTGGTGCATGTTAAACCTTTTGATGTTAAACTATTTTTAACCAATGGTTCACACAAATCTCCTAAAATCTACAAAACGCAAGCAAACATTTTTAAATAATTACATTGAATTTTGGAGAGATCCTGACAACCAGAGATACATTTAATTTTTAGTGGAGATTTTTAATTTAATCATTTTATATTTCTCAAACTATTTTCTTAAACTTTTTGAATTTTAACTAAAAATCTCTTGTGTAATAACTTTACAAGTACTTTGATGAATTGTTCAAAACAACTTAAAAATAAACAAATCAATAAACAACTTAAATATAAACAAATCAATAAACAACTTAAAAATAAAAAAATCAATAAACAACTTAAAAATAAACAAATCAATAAACAACTTAAATATAAACAAATCAATAAACAACTTAAAAATAAACAAATCAATAAACAACTTAAAAATAAACAAATCAATAAGTACCTTAAAAATAAACAAATCAATAAACAACTTAATAATAAACAAATCAATAAACAACTTAAAAATAAACAAAACAATTTTGACTTTTGAAACAAAAGTTGATTTATGATCAAAAAAGTTAATTATGAATCAGAAAATTGCTGTTAGAAATCGCAAGAATATTGCTTATAACTTTAAAAGAACTTTTTTTTATATACTATAATTTTTCAAAATTAAATGTAGATTTACAAAATGACTAAATAAATTATGAGCATTAAAAATTAAAAATCTTACATAAATTATAGATAAAAGTAGAAAAAAGACTTTTGGCTACTGCCATTAATTAATTTCTTAGCATTTGTCATTAATTGATTTCTATTATTATCATTCTTGATGTGTAAAGCTTTTATAATTACAGCAAATGCAATAAACAGATTGTAAACTTCATTGTCTATAGTATTCTCTAACACAATATTTCTTGTATACAAAGATAAATTGATGAAATTCTGTTGCCTTGCAATGTTCTCATTTATAAAAAAAACTCTTTGACATCTAGCTAAGTCAGAAGCATTGGACCAGTCTATTTTCAGTGTTTGATTTAAAATCTGTTAGTTCTGAGTAAAGTTGATATGAATTTCAGATTTTAACTTCACTCAAAATAAAAAAATCTACGACTTCAAGGAATAAAATGTGCATAGGCTCAATGGCAAATGAACAAACTATATCTAAGCTATTTATTAGCAAGAAAATTCAGTATCAATTCTTAAATTTGCATTATCATTTGTATAAATACTCTAAATACTTTTTTTAAATAATCTGCCACAGAAGTACACCATTCACATCCAGAGTATTTAAAAAACTAATCACACCCATTTTTTGATGCGTGACCTGAGCAATATGCTAAAGCATCACAAATAAAAAAATGCAAAATAAACTTATGTTTTTCATTAGTAGCTAATCCATTAATTGTTTGATTAATAACTTCTACTACAAAAAGCTAGTAAATTTCCACTATAAATAGCCACTGGATTGGGTTCAGAATCAGTATCATTGAATTCAAAATCACCGGAAAAATCAACTATATTTGATAGTCTATCTTAAATATTTTTATCTTTCAATAAATGTCCACTTTACAGAGAAATAATTCTTGTAAATCATTTTTATTTACTTCCCAACAAAAAGATACAAAAGATCTTCAGTTATCAGTTTAATTAATAAACTTTACAAAATATTCGGGCAAACTGTAATAGAGGTATCTACTATCTATGTGATAGTAGATATATACTAGTATATATCTACTATCACATACAAAATATGTGATTATATATATATATATATATATATATATATATATATATATATATATATATATATATATATATATATATTTCCAGTACAGTTTGTATTGGTATGTTGGTATATGTCATAATGCAGAACGAAATTTTGTTTAGCTAAAGCATTATTTCAAATATCAACATATCAGTGCAAACTGTAATGGAGGTATATCTACAACAACAACAATATATTTACCATAAGTATAGATAAAATAAATAGGTTTTATTTGCGTCTATTATCTATTTTTACATATATTATGTGATAACAGATATATCCCAGGTACAGTTTGTACTGATGTGTTGTAAATGATAATATCATTTAATAATAGCATTTGGTATGTGATAGTGCTTTAGCTGAACTATATTTATTTATAACTTCATAATACGATATTAATGAACTTATAATAATATATAACAATATTAAAATATTACTAATATAATATATAAAATAAAATTTTATTAATGAAAATATCATTAATATATTTAGCAGAACATCTTCTGAAGAGATATTGTTCTGCTAAAGCATTTTACATACATCACAAAATGAAGTCTTGGTCTTAGGTTTTGCTTTTTGTGTATACCTGAATATTCTCGATAAAATATAGATCCAGAATATAAATTTTTACTAAAACCAAATTATACTTTAATACAATTATAAAAGTTACTTTTTACATCTTCTTGTACTTAATTTTGATTTAGCGATTTAATGTTGCATGTTTGCTCAGGTTGCATGTTGCATGTACTCTGCATGCCAGTTTTTGTTTTTCTGCATTTTTCTGGTGTCAACAGCAGTATGTGATCAATACTCTGACTATTTACAATAGATGTGCCGGCTGCCGGCTGGCATTTGTAAATATTTAGCTAATCTAATATTAGTAGTATATCTTTTTTTAATTTTAATTTCAATTCATTATTTCTTTATATTGTTTTTTACTTTAGATTATTGATGGCGCTAAATTCATTTATAAAGGTCAACACTCTCACTGTGATAGTTATTCAGCATTCTGGGATAATTCTAAGTTCTCTCAAACAGAACTGTTTTTCCATCTTCTTGATAATAATATACAAAGAAACTTTATCTGCGGTTTAGCTTTGGATTTTTGTGTGGGTTTTACTTCTTTAGATAGCGCTGAGCATGGGTTTGATACATTTGTAATCTTAGATGCAACCCGTGGTGTGTCAGAGAATACTATTGAAGAGATGAAAAATAGAATGAATAGTGTTGGTGTTAAATTAGTAACGGTAAATTTTAATTGCAAATTTTTATTATGTAGCATCAACTGCAACAGATTTTTTGGTAAAAGAAATTTTTATAAATTATGAATGATAGTATCTCAAGTTTATTTTTGAGCCCTTCTCTTTACTTTGTCATATACCCATAACATGACTATTTTTAAGCTAGAATATTTGGTGATTTTTTAAAGATTTAAATATCAAATGTTATAGAGAGAATAAACATCTTTAAAAGACCAAAATGAAAAATAGCAGTATTCTATATAAGTTCTTAAAGATGGAGAACATGTTTGACTTGAGTTTCAAATACACCAACTCTGCTAAAATTATTAATTGAAGATAGAGTAAGTACACAGGTACTCTCGAGTGCCGAATACAACGGGGGTGGGAATAAACGGATGGGTGGGAATTTTAGTCAAAATCTAATAAATGGGGGGGGGGGTTTAATAAACGAGAGGGGAGATTTTTTCTGAAATTTAATAAACGGGGGGGGGGGGTGAAATTTATAGTAGGAGGAGGATTTTATCTACAAAATAAATGTGCAGGTTTTTTTTGTTTAAAAAAAAGGAACCTCTTCTAGTCTAGTAAACAGAGAGAATGTAATACCCGTAATGTACAAAAATAATTTACCAAAAGAAAATGAACGACTTTAAAAAAGGTAAAATTATTAATATTTATTAACTTTAAATAAAATATATATAAATGATCTTTTTATTTAAATAGATCCTCAAAAGCGTTCCTGATTAAATCATTTTTCATCGCGGTGTTCCACTTCATTTTCTAACAGTTCGTTGTCAAAGGCTTCAAAGTTGTTTTCAATACGGCTTTTTATGGCACGGCGAGATGTTATATAGCTCCGTTTCAATCTTGTAAGATGTGGAATAAATTAGGTAGATGTTTCTGCATTACATAAAAGTTTTCCTAATTCATCAATGAAAACAGCATCTTTTCTTATCACAATTTCTTATCACAATCAAATAATTCATATCATTCATCTAGCGGCTCTGTTTCACAAGTGTTTTGTCCTTGCTTTTTTTTTTTCTTTTAAAATATATAATTTTTTTGTTGATAACAAGTAAAAATTAATAAACGGGGGGAAGGGGTCTTAATAAGCTTAGGGTGGGTGGGGAAAATATCCAAAAATTAATAAACGGGGCAGGATGTTTATTAGGAACTCAAGAGTATCAGGTACACAGCATCATTCAGTGCATAACACTACATTCAGTACATAACAGTCCATCACTACATACAGTACATAAAAGTCCAACACTACATCCAGTATGTAGATTTGTGCTTTCATTACTTTGTGTTTTTATGCAATCTTTATGTGTGACCAGTTACGAAATGTTATACACTGAGTTCTTGGCTCCCATAATTTTACCAGGATTTTTAGTACTGCAAGTAAAACTTCAAAAGTAAAACAAAACTTCAGTAATAATAGAATTAATAATTCATTTCAATAATAATTGAAACTTTAACTCTGAAACATGATTTTTTTTTCAAGCATTGAAAAACACAACTTTCTTGTTTTTCAAAGTTCATGTTTCAGAGTTAAAGCCTTCATGGCATTGGGAAGGTGAATTAATATAAAGCATTAAAAATTCTTTTAAAATAATTATATATATATATATATATATATATATATATATATATATATATATATATATATATATATATATATATATATATATATATGCATAGATGCTTAGAATTTATTGACTTCATAAACTTAGAAGGTGTAAAATAGTGTTTAAAAAAGAAAGCATACATTTATGTGAATTATAATATCATTGTAAACACGAGTCATTAATACTGCCATCATAAGCATAATCAGTGTATATGTACTTTTTTTTAAACTGAGAAAATAAAGTTTTTGAGTTTTTTGTCATAACTTTTTTTTTAAATACTTTTAAATAAAATTTTAAACATTATAATTAAAAAAAAAAAGATTTTAAAACAATTTTATTTTTTTCAAAAATAGTTTCCAATTGTTCATAAAATAAAACTAGGTTTATTAAAAGTTATAGGCTAAAAGGTGTCTTAATACACACTGCTTATTTATGTAAAAATAAATAATTTAACATGTTTTCAATGTTGCCGTCTAAATAACAATATTTTATTGATCTATTATATTTAAGAAATCTTTTTTACACATAACAAAAAATTGTCACTTTCTTCACTTTCGTCACTTTCTTCTAAATAATTTATAAAGGGTTTTTTTGAATTTATTTTAAGTTTTTTTTTCAATTAATAATCAGTTTTTCCAAAAGGTTCAAATTAAGTGATTGCGATTTGCGATATCTAGAAATGCTTCTGGTATTTAAATTTTTAGTTAAAAGCTCTGTTTTTATCACTAAACTCAATAGTTGTTATTGATTAAAAATTATTTATATTGATTTTGAAATTATGATATAAAAACTCATTATAAAGAACTGTTAGGGTAAAAAAGAAGCCTGTTAATTTTTTTTTTCCTAAATATTTTTAGTTCTTGAGTTATGGTTGGTCAAACTTTTGACCTTTTCACACTCGGATCCTCATTATTGTGAATTTGTGATTTTTAAACTAAATTTAAAGGTAATAAAACAACAGCATCCTATGTTTCTGACGTGATGACAACTACATCCTAAGTTTCTGGAGTGATGACAACTGCATCCTAAGTTTCTTTTTTTGTAAGGAACTTTCATTAAAAATAAATTTTAAAAACTGAGGAAAATTCTTCCTTAGTTTAAAATTCATAAGCTAAAATCACACATTTTTGACTTTGGGGCTGACTTAAAATATGTTTATCTCAAAACATAAATGCTTCCTGCAAGATACCTTATTGTTTTTGGAAAGGGTATGCCATTGTAATTTTATTGGTTTGAAAAGTACTTTTAAATCATCAAACTGTCAAAAAATGTTTTAATTAGCGTTCATAAATCAGCCATTAGGAAAAATGGGAAAGGTCTCATGATTGAATGTATTGATTTTCTATTATCCCATAATACCAATTTTTTAATGCAAAAAAAAAATTAGCAGGTAGTTTTGCATTGTTAAAATATCTCCACTACAAAAAGTTAAACTTTTTGTATATTTCCAAAAAAACACAGCGGAATTACTCAATTATTTTTTAAATCTTAATATATCACTCAGTATTGTAGATAAGATTTTTTGATGTTTTAGAAATGACACTTTCAAGCATTATGCTAACTTTAAACTTAAGTATATACTTGTTTATGTCAAATAAAAAAACTTTGCAAAAAAAAGAAGTAAGCGGTAAAAGGTTTAGTTTATTTTGTCTTTTAAAATTGTTTACAATGTACAAAAATATAAAAAAGTAAGCTGTAGGAAGAAAAAGAACAGAAGTACCCCAAAAGAACACCCCAGCTACCCCAGTGTTGCTACCAGCTACCCCAAATGTGAATTAATAAAATATTTTTTCAATACCTTATACTAAATGTAAATATATCTACAGGTTTAAAGTTTCATCTAAAAATCTTTTAGTGTTTAAAAGTTTAAGTACGTTTCCATCCTGAAATGAGGGAGTTTTAAAATTTACATGGTCATAACTTTTGAACACTAAATGGTAGATGGTAAAAAAGATATTTTAGTTAATCATTGTCCTTACATCTAGATTAAGGTCTAAGTTATCTTTTTGAGGTATATTGGTTCCCAGGCTCTAATCAACGCAATTTTTTGCGAAACTTGACAAGCTTGAACATACTTAAGTTTGGAGTTTTAGCAAGGTTTAATAGTTTCATTTCTGCAACATCAAAAAACTCTATCTATGCTATTGGTTTGAGTCATAATTCAGTTTACATATCCTTTTATTTTGCTTTGTTGCTTGAAATTCGTTTTTGGCATTTTCAACCTTTTATTTCTACAAGCTTATAGTCTCTGTGCTGTTTTAATAGAAATTTTAAATGAAACGGTGGTAGAATTTCACAAATGAATTCATTGCCTTTGTACTAAATATCATTAGGAAAAGCTAACCACTTAAAATAATTCTTGAGCCCAGAACTATACTTTATTCAGCTCACCATGTAGCCATCACTCACAACCTAATAAGAGTAATGATTTTTCTAAAGATAGTTTGAAAAATATTTGAAAAATCAAGTTCTCATTTGACGAAAGTAAACTTTAAAATTTAGTAACACAATCAAAATGATTGATTAATGTTTGAAAGATACTTATTTTCAAACTGAATGAAAATGAAGTACCTCATTTATAATCCCAGGATAGTAAAACATTTTGGTAATGGTCTTTCAACCAGAAGGCTTTTTAAAGCAAAAATTTATTATTTTGTTTAATGTTTTAAATAATCAATGGTATTTTCCTCAGCAATATCAATACCATGAATTGTATCCACATCAGCTGAATTATCTTATGCTAATATTTTTAGTTCAACTGAGGATTTGCTTAAATTTTTACAATCTTGACAAATTGTATCATTAGATGTTATTGAAATTTGTTGCAATTGTTTGTTGGTAAAAATCAGATATTAGACAGTTGAACTAGAATGTCTTTTGCTGCATTCAAACATATTACTTTCTATTCTTGTAGTTCAAAGATAAAGTTTGCAGCATGGAGAAACCATTTATATCTGCCATTGCTCTTGACATTTCTAAAGCGTTTGATAAAGTTTGGCATGCTGGTCTCCTCCATAAGCTTTCTTCTTACGGTGTATCTGGAAACATCTTTAAGATTATTGAAAAAAGTTGTCCTTGATGGACAGCACTCTTCTTCTTATTCTGTAACCTCAGGGGTTCCCTAAGGTTTAATCCTTGGCTCTTTTTAATTTACATTAACGATCTTCCAGATATTCTCACATCTAAGGTGGCATTGTTCGCTGATGATACTACCATTTATTCTTGTCACAATAAAAAGCCAATTCCCTCTGATTGCCTGCAGGGGGCATCTGAGCTTGAAAAGGATGTCACTTCTGCTAGAGCATGGGGCTCACAGTGGCTGGTGAAGTTTAATTCAGATAAAACTCAATTTTTTTTGGCCAATCGTTATCGCAATAATTTAGACCTTCCTATATTTATGAACGGTAATGTACTCGATGAGTCTCCTACCCTTCATCTTCTAGGATTAACTTTTACTTCTGATCTTTCTTGGAAACCTTATATCAAATCCGTTGCAAAATTAGCATCTGCTAAAGTTGCTTCTCTTTATCAAGCTCGTCACTTTCTTACTCTGGATTCTATTCTCTATCTCTATAAATCTCAAATCCGGCCTTGTATGGAATACTGTTGCCATATCTTGGGCGGATCTTCTAATGATGCCCTTTTTCTTTTAGGCAAGGTGCAAAAAGGCATTGTAAACATAGTTGGACCTGCTCTTGCAGCCAACCTTCAACCTCTGTCACATCGTCGTAATGTTGCTTCTCTTTCTTTTTTCTATAAATACTATAATGGGCACTGCTCTAAAGAGCTAGCGTCTCTTGTACCATCTACTAAAATTCATTCTCGTGTCACTCGTCATTCAATTAAGTCTCATCCTTTTTCTGTTACTGTTCCTAAGTGCTCCAAAAACTCTTATTCGTCTAGTTTTTTTCCTCGAACATCAGTTCTTTGGAATTCGCTTCCTTCATCTTGCTTTCCTGGTTTATATAATTTGCAATCCTTTAAGTCGTCTGTCAATTGTTATCTTGCTCTACAATCTTCATCTTTTCTCTTCCAGTAACTTCCAACACTAATTAGTGGTTGCTTGCAGCCTTGTTGGAAGCGAAGTTAATTTAAAAAAAAAAAAAATCATAGAATCCTGCTGAACATTTCTGTTAAAATGTTTACTTTTAAAAGTTTACTTTTAAAAGTTATACTTTTTTTAATATATGTTAACGATCTCCCAGAAATTCTCACATCTAAAGTGGCATTGTTCGCTGATGATACTACCATTTATTTTTGTCTTGATAAGAAGCCAACACTCTCTGATTATTTGGAGTGAATATTTGAACTTGAAAAGGATCTCACTTCTGCTACAGCATGGGGCTCTCAGTAGCTGGTGAACTTTGGCTCAATTTTTCCTGATTCATATAATTTGCAATCTTTTAAGTTGTCTGTCAATTGTTATCTTGTTTGACAATCTTCATCTTTTTTTTCCAGTAACTTCCAACTCTAATAGTGATTGCTTGCAGCTGGAAGCTGCAAAATCACTATTATGCTGCAAAATCACTATTATGCTGCAAGCAATCACTATTATGCTGCAAGCAATAGATGTTTAAAGAATAAATAAATAAAAAATTGTGTCAAATTTAATTTTTGTGACTCACTAAGCAACATTTTGGAGAATCCCGCTGTTAAATTAAAAATATATTTTCACAGGGGAAAATGAAAAAGCAATCAAATTTTATTCTCTTTTTTGTCAACTTTTAGCAAATGAATAATGTGTAGACACATTAAAGTTTATTTAAAATATACCTTTAGTACTAAAATTAATTTATTTAAGTCATTTTTTTGCTTCCAAAAGGTTCTTCTCGTTGTCGCATGATAAAAAAAGTATCATTTAAAAATATTATTTTAACCATGAATTTATTTGCATAATCAGAATTAAATTATTATGACAATGAAGCTAACATGTTCAAATTGTTGTTGGTCAGATTTTATACTTATATTTCAAGAAAATTACGAAAGAACTTTTGCAATTTTCATGTAATGTAAGTTAACAAAAACATGATAAAGTTTTGTTTTTTCCAAAATTTAGTTTAAAAACTTAAATTTTTTAATAACAAATGCGAAAGAATATTTAATGTTACATTTTTATATTTAAAGTTTTAAATAACGATGCTTATTTAAATTTTTATTTTAAATTTGTGTAAGTTAAAACTACAAGCATTTATTCTGGCTTTTTTTTTTTTTTACAAAATAAATTAAATTCAAATGGAAATTAAAAGAAGTTATCTTTTCAACATAAAATATTTTTTCTTGCCTTTGGTTCATTTTTTTCATATATTTTATCTAGCATCACTGTGACAAAATGTTAGTTCAATAATGCAATAACCCCCCCCCCAAAAAAAAAAAAAGATCTCACTTCTGCTACAGCATGGGGCTCTCAGCGTCTGCTGAACTTTAACAGCGATAAAAGTCAATTGTTCTCAGCTAATCATTATCACAGTAATCTAGATCTTCCAATATATTTATGAACAGTAATGTACTCAATGAGTCATCTACCCTTTATCTTCTTGCGAAAGAATATTTAATGTTACATTTTTATATTTAAAGTTTTAAATAACGATGCTTATTTAAATTTTTATTTTAAATTTGTGTAAGTTAAAACTACAAGCATTTATTCTGGCTTTTTTTTTTTTTTACAAAATAAATTAAATTCAAATGGAAATTAAAAGAAGTTATCTTTTCAACATAAAATATTTTTTCTTGCCTTTGGTTCATTTTTTTCATATATTTTATCTAGCATCACTGTGACAAAATGTTAGTTCAATAATGCAATAACCCCCCCCCCCCCCAAAAAAAAAAAATGATCTCACTTCTGCTACAGCATGGGGCTCTCAGCGTCTGCTGAACTTTAACAGCGATAAAAGTCAATTGTTCTCAGCTAATCATTATCACAGTAATCTAGATCTTCCAATATATTTATGAACAGTAATGTACTCAATGAGTCATCTACCCTTTATCTTCTAAGATAAACTCTTACCTCTAATCTTTTTTAAGAAACCATATATCAAATTGATTGCAAAATTATCGTGCTTGCTACTTTCTTACTCTGGATTCTATTTTTTATCTCTATATTCTCAAATATGTCCTTGTATGTAATATTGTTGCCATATCTGGGGCAGATCTTCAAATAATGCACTTTCTCTTTTAGACAAGGTGCAAAAACGCATTGTAAACATAGTTGGATCTGCTTTTGCAGCGAACCTCCGGATTCTATTTTTTATCTCTTTTAAGTTGTCTGTTAATTGTTATCTTGCTCTATAAACTTTATCTTTTCTCTTCCAGTAATTTCCAACTCTAATAGTGGTTGCTTGCAGCCTTGTTGAAAGTGAAGTTATTAAAAAAAAAGAAGTATTTTCATTGCCTTTAAATTTAGTTTAATAATCACAAAATAACAATAATGAGGTTCCAAGTATTAAAAGGTCAAGAGTTTGACTGACCATAACTCAAGAACTACAAATATTTGGAAAAAAAAAAGTTAACAGGCTTCTTTCTCACCCTATTAGCTTAAATAATATTTATTTTCAATATTAGATCAGGTGGAAATGTAGTCGACACGTTGTTGACATGTTATCCTCATAATAGCTCACTTTGATGGAAAAATTATGTAAGTTCACATTTGTTTACAAAAATTATGGATGTTCACAAGTTGTGTTTGAAGGATATCACTTTTGACCATGATTTTTTCAGGAAATGGGTCTCTATTCATTTGATAAATCATCAGATAGAACTAGAAAAATAAAGCTTACAGTACAATCTAATATATAAAAAAACAACCTACAAATCATAACAGTCTATAGGAATTTAGTGGTGATCAAATATTTTTAATAGAAGAAATCGCAAAATATTGAATACTTTTTTATCTTATTTAATTCTTATTCAATATTTTCTTATGAACTATCAAAGAAATGCTCATAACAACACAGATATTTATAAAAAATTAAAACAGAGAAGTTTAAAAAATATAAAAACTAATTTAAACTAGTTATTTTTAAACACATCAAAAAAACTTTATTAACTTATTTTAGAATGTATCTTTTTTATTAATTTCTAATTTAAAACATTTAAATTTTTAAACAACTTATTCCTTAAAGTTTCCCCCTAAACAAAAATTAGTTTTAATGTTTCATGCAATAATAGCTTTAGCATAATTTTTTATTAGTTGGTTTTTAATCTAACATGCAATTTTATGTTGGATCTAGAGTACTTGTTCTTTTTTTCTATAACTTTTTTTATTTATAATCCTTAATTAGCTAGTGTTTATCATTGTATTAGTAAATTTATTATTTTGTTTTTCATTAACTTTTGCAATATGATAAATTGACTGTTTCATTGAAATAGTGTTTACGGTTTTTAATAACTGAGAATTTAAGAGTCTTGGAATGTTAACTTTGCTTTAGGAATCAATTTTCCTAAATTATTTTTTATATCAGATTTTCTGTTGCCTACGATACTAACAGCTTGTGTGATTTGTTTTGAGATCAAAGAATTTTCTCACCAAACATACAAGTCTGCATAATCTCAGTTTTTAACAATTATAATTTTAGAAGTTGTTTTCACTGCATTATCAATATCCTCAAAATCATAAGGGCTCTTCGTTTTTATTGTGTATTCAACTCTATGGCGAAATGAATCCATAGACATAAAGGTATGAACAGGATCAAAATAAAGTATTTTGATCCTGTTCATACTGTTAAATATTTATCTGTAGAATTGATTATGAAAGGAACATAATAAAAAAAATCAGGATTTGATTTGACTGCTGTAATTATCAAGGAAAATTTTTCCGTAATGCTTAAAATCTGTAAAATCAAATCATGCAATATGTTAAAACCATATTGTGTTCGGAGCAACCAGTAGTTGCTGAGTGCTAAGGCACCTTAAATATTTGCACTTGTCACTTTTCTTCTATTTTCTACTCTACTAACAAAAAATTTTTAATATACAATCAAATTACATTGTCAAAAAATTGCAGCACTAAGTGTTTCCATTCGAGAAAAAAATCATATGGCTTGAAAAAGTTGTAGCTTTAAATGTTTCCATTCGAGAAAACATTACTTTTTGCGAATCTGTCGACACAATATGGGAATTCCAATCCATTTTAACATATCATTGGTAAATTGATCCAAGTTTATTAGCAAGTTGCTTATGATGGCTCCAAATCTTTTCAAGACTCAATTTTTTCAATAAGGTTTTGACTTTCCATTAAATATTTTTTGTACCATTCACATACTTTATATGCTTCATTTCCTAAACATGTGAATCTGACATTTATATTTTTCACTGTTTTTTGATACAAATAAGTGAAGACCTTGATTTATTCAGAGACGATCAAAAATTATTCTGTCATCAAATCGTGAATATCACTGGAGTTAAAAAAACATAATTGAATTTAAAGATTCGGTTTTAAGATAGATAATTACAGCATTTGTGTAATATTCCATTGAAGTTTTAAATTTTTTTGTACTGATTTATTAAACAAATTTCAAAAATATAGACATAAATGGTTTATATGTGAATACATCATTTATCATTGTAAAATAGAGTTACATTTAGTGTATAAGTAAGAAATTTTCAAGAAAACTCAAAATAACATCATTAAATTAAATTTAGAATTATTACAAATACTTTGGGGAAAAAATATCAACATTTTCACTAAAAATGACTTTGTCGTCATAAATTTTTAATTAGTGTCAGCATATAAATATTTATTGAACTTTGACCAGAGGCGATTCTACAAATAAAATAAAAATGAAGGGGGGGGGGGGAGGTTAAATCCTCAAAAAAGTACCAACTGGCTTCTGAGAAAAAATTTTAAAAATGGTCCTCAAAATGAAAATTTACCCAACTGAACTGTCAAATACCTGACTAGCCAACTAAATTTGTACACTACCCCCTCCTTAAAGTTGCCTCTGACTTTGACCATAAATATTTATTGAGAAGCTCTTGTTCATAGATGAGCATCTATTTTAAGAGAAACATTTTGTTCATAAGTGCAGTAGTGGTGTAGTGTACTAATGGTACTAAATGTGATAGTGGTGTAGTGGTAGAGCGCTCACTTCGTAAGCAAAAGGTTTCAAGTTCGATCCCCACCATGTCCCTAGTAGTACTGCGCTTAACTTGTTTCCGCATACCGGCCTAGTTTGTTAAGGTTTGTGTTTTGGGGTTATAGAGTTGAGAGAGGTTTATAACCTCAAATAAGTAGCCTCCTTGTCTGTAGTGGCCTTCTTGGCATTGAGGAGGTGAATTAACTTACTTATCAATCAACTCAATAATTTTATTTAATATTTTATTTTTTGATTTATTAAATTACTTATTTTTTATTATAATTTCAAGCAACACTTTCTAAAATATGTTATTGTAGAAGGTTGTGATTTAACATATCAAACAAAGAAAATAATTTCGGTTGTTTTGCAATTAATATTTACAACAGAAGTAAACATTATTTTCTTTGTTTGATAATAAAAAAAACTGTGTAATTTGTTTCCTCTTTATTTTGTATAATGTTTTAAAATGTGATTTAAAATTTAAAAATGAGTTCATTCAAGTAGATGTTTGCACACTTTCAAGTAAAATAACTAAGTATGTTGTTGAAAAAAGTAATCATAAAGTTTTAGCATAGTTTTCTTTTAATTTCTTTTATAATGCTCGTTTAATAAAAAAGTGCTTTTATGCACTTTTTTATTAAACATAAAAATCTATCAGAAGAACCTCAGTTATGTTCATGTGAAGAGTTTAAGATAAATATATATTTTTTTAAATCATCAATAGTCTCACTACAAATTTGAAAGAATGAAAGAAGACAGAAAATTTGAAAATTTTTTTGCAGAAATCAAACATATACACCTATATTTGAAAAATCATTTTTATAATTAAGCTCTTCAATTTTCAAATTTGAATTGGTACAAACTTATTAAGGAAAAAGAAATGGAAGCTGGATTTTTGAATACTGATACCATTATTAGAATTTTCATATGTTTCATGATATCCAAATGTTCTGGATGGGTCGTTTTCAATATTAAAATTAGCAAAAAAATAATTTGCAATCAATTGTCACAAAAATTTTTTTATAATTTTGCATTATTATCAAACAACACAGACAATTGATTTAGATTTATTGATTAATAATTTTGTTAATAAAAAAACAAAAAACAGAAAGATTATAAACAAAAAACAGAAAGATTATAAACAAAAAACAGAAAGATTATAAACAAAAAACAGAAAGATTATAAACAAAAAACAGAAAGATTATAAACAAAAAACAGAAAGATTATAAACAAAAAACAGAAAGATTATAAACAAAAAACAGAAAGATTATAATCAAAAAACAGAAAGATTATAAACAAAAAACAGAAAGATTATAAACAAAAAACAGAATATTTTCAAAGTAAAAGTTTGATTTTTAAAAATAGGGCTTCAAACATTTATCATATTGTATCATATCAAATATCTTATCATATCAAATATCTTGTCATATTTGGGTTGGTTACTAATTATGTTCTTTCTCTTCCAAACAAGGTCCAAAACGGATAGTAAATTACATGGACCTGCTCTATCTGCCAAGTTTGAGCCACTCTCCCATCATTGTATAGTTGCTTTGTTGGAAGTAAATTAGTTTAAAAAAATTAGAATTAATTTTAAGAAAAAATTAGTTTTGCATTATATTACATTAACTCATTCCTTATGACAAATTGGACTTCTGGGTTAAGAAGTAAGTATAAAATAAAAGAAGTAAATAAGAGGTAAATATTAAAAATTAAAAAAATGGAAAAGTTTTTTTTAATTTTAAATTAAGTAAACCATATAAAATTTAAAGTTAGTAATTTAAAAACTTTAAAATTGGTAAAATTTATGTTATTTTAATTTTTTATTTAAATTTTAAAAATATTATAATTGTTTTTGCTCTTTAAATTTACTTGTGATTATATCTGTTTTAATTTAATCTGTTAAAATTTGATAAATCTTATTAATGTATATATTACATCTGTATAATCTTTTTTTTTTTTTTTTAATTTAGATGGAAACGTTGCTGTCTTTTCTATAAACTCTAAAGTTTTCATATTTGAATTATATTACATTATGTTATACTATTATTATTATTACTGTTATTATTATTTTATATATTATATATATATATATATATATATATATATATATATATATATATATATATATATATATATATATATATATATATATATATATAACCCCTTTGAGCCTCAAATGACATGTAAATAAATGTTTCAAGTTAGGAGTTCTCTTTAAAAATATTTTTTCTCTAAACATAATGATTTTCTTGATAGATTTTTATTCTTGATTCTTGATAGACTTTTTATCGGTGTTTAAAAGTATCTTGCGTTAAATTTTCGATGTTGATAAAAAATATAATACTATTTAGGGTCTTGTCCTTGTATATTTATAATTCTATTTGAGAGTGTAAATATTGTAAAATGTTTATTTATAAAATATTTATTTGATATTTATATTGAATTATTTGAAAAGGAAAAAAAGAAAAAAACGTTTTCATTTTTGTCTTTATTTTATTTGGTTTAAAATTCTTATTATTTATAAAGTACAAAATTATGACTTATGTCTCAACATGTTTAATTACATCACATTTATTCCCTGATAGTTTAACGCTGACGTAATAATCTAGCAAAAGTTATTTTATTTTAAGAGTCATTTTTTGTAAGAATCAGGCAGTCAATGGAAGTGACCTCCTCTAAATTGCTTGAATTTTTTATATATTGATCAGAATATAGAGAAAACCTGTTGGGGAAAAAAAAAATTTTTTTAAATGTTTCGTTCACTCGCAATCTGGGCTTAAATTTTTGAGATTTTTTTAAAAAATTTTAGAAATTTAGTTTTTGCCACCTTTGAACCCATTTTTTTGGCAAGGCAAAAAGTTGCACATAGCTTTTGTAGTTAATATCAGACGTAACCCAAAAGCTCTCTCCAAAAAATATAAAAAAGTTGCGTGACACTGTGCGGTTGGCTAATTATCATAGTTCAAAAGTACAAAATCAATCAGTTTTGTCAATTTTTAATCGGAGTTAATTCTAGCAGCGAAGTGTTGCACACAATTTTTCTTTTAGGATTTGAAATTATCAAAGGTATTGAGTCTAAAAATGCAAAGAAAGTTATGTGATACGTAAGGCCTATTAATATATTAAGGCTTGAAATTGGAAAAAAATGTTTTAGTATACTTACAAAATGAACCATTACGGCAGAGGCGCTTAGTTTTGTAAAAATGTAAACATATCCAACTGTCAATACAAAAAGGTCCTAACATAATAATAAAAAAATTTTTTATTATTATGTTAGGTTTTTAATTCATGTTAGATATAACATGAATTAAAAGCTGAACAAAAATCTAACATCAAGATAACTATATTGCTAATTAAATAAAACATAAATCAAACATTTAAATGTTTTTCCATTTAAAAATTAGTTTTTCATTTATTAATAGAGTCATTTACACACATTATCCACCACATCACACATAATTTCTACTCTGCTGCAGTAAGTTTCTCTAAGAATAATGATATGACTGTATTATAGTCTTCTTCGGATAATGAATAATCGCCACAACCACTGATTCGAAAAGGAGCATTTACTAAACAGATAATTTTATCAGTTTGGTTATTTATCTCCTCAGTAGTAACTGGCCAGCGAAAAGTATTCTTCTCTTGCCCGTTAATCATACAATTAACTATGATCCCAGTTATAGATACCTAAAAGTATTAGCGCAACATTTAAAATAATATAATAAAGAGTTTATGATTTGTTTAATTTTGCTTACATTCAATAAAACTTGTAAAGTCTTATAAAATGTCATTCTGAAATTATTTTTACATTTTATTTATATTCCTTTTATTTTAGAGCACTGTTTTGTAAAACAAAATAAAAACTTGAAGCTAATATATACTTTGAATAATATTACCTCCACAATATATCCAATATTCCATTGTTTTTCATATACAACAGCAACCCAATCATTCACTTTCCATACAAGACAAATTTCTTTTGCAAGATTGGCGATGTCTTCCTCATATTTATTATCAACTTCATTGTCTCCTGTCAGATTAAAGTCATCATTTTCGCCATAAACTTCTTTGTTATCGTTAACCTGACTATTATCATTATTTTCTGTTGTCGGTTCTACCAGCTTACCTTTTCTTTTCAGGTTACTAAATCTATAACAATATCAATTGTACATATTTTTAAACATATGTAAACAAACACACAAAATTATAACTTTCACCTAAATTTTAATTTCATATTTGTAAAAGAACTATTTAACAGTCAGAAACATAATCTAATTTGCAAAAGTTTTGATAGCAACAATGCCTACCTTGATAATAAAGATCTTATCTGTTGGCTAGTTATGAGAGTATAACTAACTTTCCCATGGAATCACTTTGCTTATATACTTTCTGAGCACGAATAATTTCAATTGGGAGAGGGCTATTTATTTCATCAACATTTTTACTGTTAAGAAAATCTATAAGTATTTCCTCTTGTCCAGGAGCAACAGCTTCCGCAAATTTTTTATTTAATAAGTTTTCTAGGCGAACATACTTGCGTTTTAACTTATCTTTAGTAGTATCTTCCAAATATTCGAACTTCCTTTTTAATCTAAATTTTATTGGACTTGCATTAAGAACCTCAGTTACATTCTCGCGGCTTCTTAGAGATTCGTTCAAAATCTCCTGTGAAACATTAATTTCACCGGGATCAAATTCTTCATCTGGAGTAGCAGGTGTCATATATGTTTGTTCTTGTTGTGTTTGTGTTTCTGTACATAAATTGGTGTTTTCGTTGACTCTAGATAAAGCAGTTTCTTGCTTTAAATGGGTAAAACACAGCATTGCACCAACTGAAAATACTTCATTGTATCGCTTTGACATTGATATGACGACATGTATTGGTGACGCCCTTAAAGCGGGAGATTTTTTTCCTTTTATATTTAGATGGTGAGGATGAAAGCCTATTTTTGGAGGACTCCATGCAATACCAAACGTGTACCGGTGAAAAGCACATATTTGTTCATCCTTTTCAAGATTTCTTTTAAGTCTATTTGCAATAAGTCCATTTTCTTCCTAAATATTATTATCGTTTAATCGCATGACCTAAAAACAATTTTTTAAACAGTTATTAAGTGTGTCATTTAAAGCATTGTTTATAATCTGACTCTTCACGAAAAATGTTTACAAGTTTGAAATACATTGTTGTTATTATTAAAATACAATATTGCAAGAGTGTGATTAATTTAGTGATTATTTATTAAAAGAGTGAGGAATTAATTAAAAGAGCTATTTTTTTTGTTTAAAGAACTTTGTCTCAAAATCTTATTGCAGAGAAGTTATAAAGTATGTAATTATAAAAATTATATTACAGTCTGCGTAAATTTAAAATACATAATTACCTTTAAGTTGATGAGGTGTTTCTTAACATCAACATCTCCCAGCTGATGAATGTAGAACATTTTGTTTATAATTTTATGTTTTTTGAATGATCCACAATTTCCTTTTGAAAAGCAACAACAGTTTTCATAAAAATATTTGTTTTGTTCCATACTCAACTAAAAACAAGTTCTATTTATGCAGTACCTATTTCTCAATAGCAATGATAAAATATCTACTCTATTTATGCAAATTTTAAAGATCGTTAAAATAAAGTTAAGACATTTTTATGGTAAAGTAAACAACCGCCTACTAACTTGTTTCTCCACAATCGTGATAACAGCGATTCTTCTTCCATTCGATCACCAAAAGTTATTTGGTTATGACGTAAATTTAAATAATTCACTTCTGATCATGTATTGTTTTTTATTATTATTTATTTCAATTGTTAAGATTTCTATATCATAGTCAGAAACGCTTAAATTTTTTCTTAACATTACGTGCAATGTTTTGTGTAATGCTAATTGCTAATTTTGGATGATAGAAATTTTATTGTGAGCGAAAACCTCATCTGTGTGTCCAAAAAAATATCTCTTCGTACTTAATCATTTTTAACAATTTGTACCTTTATTTTTAACTTAATATCTAAAGATCACATGAGTTTTTTTTTAAACTATGTTAGGGTCATCTTATATTGACCATTTAACATGATTATATTTTTACAAAACTAAGCGCCTCTGCCGTAATGGTTCATTTTGTAAGTATACTAAAACATTTTTTTCCAATTTCAAGCCTTAATATATTAATAGGCCTTACGTATCACATAACTTTCTTTGCATTTTTAGACTCAATACCTTTGATAATTTCAAATCCTAAAAGAAAAATTGTGTGCAACACTTCGCTGCTAGAATTAACTCCGATTAAAAATTGACAAAACTGATTGATTTTGTACTTTTGAACTATGATAATTAGCCAACCGCACAGTGTCACGCAACTTTTTTATATTTTTTGGAGAGAGCTTTTGGGTTACGTCTGATATTAACTACAAAAGCTATGTGCAACTTTTTGCCTTGCCAAAAAAATGGGTTCAAAGGTGGCAAAAACTAAATTTCTAAAATTTTTTAAAAAAATCTCAAAAATTTAAGCCCAGATTCCGAGTGAACGAAACATTTTTTAAAATTTTTTTTTTCCCTAACAGATTTTCTCTATATTCTGATCAATATATAAAAAATTCAAGCAATTTTGGACGAGGTCACTGATTCTTAGAAAAAAACGGCTCTTAAAGCGCGTTAAAAATTAACTTAAAAAATATCATGCGTCAAAACAAATTCATTTTATATAAACGTTATTAACTTTATTGAATTACAATATTGTGCGGTACAGCGGTTAATACAACTCTTTGAAGTCCTTTTTCATTATTATTATTTTTTTTTTTAGAAATACGTTTTTTATTAATTAACTAACTGATGCTAATATATTAATAATAGTAAATGTTAATATAATAGAAGACACGGTTAAAAAATGAATCGCTAACTTGAAAAAGGGGACATGTTATATGAATTTTTGCAGGACATGTTCCTTTTTCAAGTTAGCGATTCAAATAGTTAGGTAATTCAGTTAACAAATAGCTTAAATGCGCGTAATATTTTTTACGCGCATTTAACTTGAAATATTTAGGAAAAGGCACAGTGAATATATATCTGATATAGTGAATATATCGACATATTCGATAAGCCATAAGTGTGGCACAGTGAACATATTCCGACTAAGATGTTTAGCTCTTGTTGGGCTGGAGCTGGCGTCGAACCTCGGACCTCTGAGTTCTGAGCCAGAACTCTAACCACTGCGCCACAGCTGCTCGAAAAAAGTTAAAAAAGGTTTTTGACTTACTTGCTCACGCCGCCGAGAATCTAAATCTCAAATATTGATTGGGCTATTTAATTTGATTTTAAAGCGAAGAAAATAATTATTTACTTTCTTTGTGATGTTAAATTTATTATTTTTTGTTTAAGTATGTCTAAATTTATATTAAAATATTTCACCGGATGATGCGGTCTAAACTAACTGATTACAGGGTTTATGCGAAATATAAAACATTTTTTAAGAAAATATAAAACATTTTTTAAGAAAATATAAAACATTTTTTAAGAGAATATAAAACATTTTTTAAGAAAATATAAAACATTTTTTAAGAAAATATAAAACATTTTTTAAGAAAATATAAAACATTTTTTAAGAAAATATAAAACATTTTTTAAGAAAATATAAAACATTTTTTAAGAAAATATAAAACATTGTAGTTGAATCAATTGTGCAATTATGATACATAAAGTTATTCATAAATTTCTAAAGAATAAAGAGTATCTTTTATATAATTATAACTCATTATACTTAAAGATATAATATAAAAAGCAAAGTATCCACTTTAGTAAAATTCTTGTCTTGCTATGCCTTTCAAAACCCATCTTCTCATATTATAATACCAACCACAAAAATCAACGCCAATTGTCGGTATAAGCGAATTTAAAGTAGCCTCAACTTCATTGCTAGTTTTTGGAAACGGCCAATATATATTATAATGTATAATTAGCTTTAAGACAACTAAAGTATTCCTCAATCGGGTTCAATTGTGGTGAATAAGGTGGCAAAAAGTAAACTGAAACACTGGATTGGCTGAGCAAATTGATTACATCTCTTCTACGGTGAAATGCACAATTATCCAATACTAGTACAGAATGGGGATACGTTTGGAAATACGGTCTTAAATTGTTGGTTATAAAATCGCAAAAAAGATTGCCATTATAGGCACCATCCACTATCTTAAAGCTTAAAATACCATTAACTGTTATAGCGGCCATGAGACTTACATTCTTTCCACGATTTGCTGGCACTGTAACAAAACATTTTGTATTCTTTATAGAATAGCCATACTGTTTAGAAGTATGTAAATTAAAGCCTGTTTCATCTAGAAACACTAAGTTATTGTCAGGAATCGAATTAATAGTCCTGCAAAAACTTTGTCTTAAATCAACGTTTTGCGGCGAATTCCTTTCTTTTGGTACTAATGTAAGTCGTTTTCTAGTGAACTCCATCGACTTCAAATACTTAGATATTGTTGGTATAGATGCATTAATATTCCTTTCAACGAGAATGTTTCTCAATGATGCTAACGTATGAGATGGATCATGCTCAATTAACATTCGAATTTCAGATTTAAGTGTCTCGTCATAAGAGCTGCGCCTTCCTTTTTTTACTGATGCGATTTCATCATCACTAAGTCCTTTACAGATTTTATCAGAAATAGAACGTGCTGCAGAAACTGATATTTCAACTTCTTCCGCAATTTCTTTTAACTTCATTTCTTTAAGAATTGACTTTCTTATTATTTTTACAATATCCTTTGTAATAAGTGTTCTTTTTTTTCTTTGTCTCTTGTTTTCCATTTATTGATTAAAACAACAAAATAAAGCTTGAATAATATATTTTTACAGATCTCTTTCTTTGTTGTGAATAAACCACATAAATTCCATAGTATAGAGTAATTACGTAATTGAATATTTTATGTTAAAATATTAAACATTTAATTAACTAATTAAATGTTTTATATTAGCATAAAATTTGTTTTATATTTTCTTTAAAAATGTTTTATATTTTCTTTAAAAATGTTTTATATTTTCTTAAAAAATGTTTTATATTTTCTTAAAAAATGTTTTATATTGTCTTTAAAAATGTTTTATATTTTCTTAAAAAATGTTTTATATTTCGCATAAACCCTGTAATTTAAGCGCGCAAAATATTTAGTTTTATTAATTAAATAATTTAATTTAATTAAAGCCGTAGCCAACAGAATTAAAGCCATAGCATACGGAATTAAAGCCATAGCCAACGGTATTAGGAACATAAAGTAATAAAATGTTACTCACTAAAAGTAATAAATAAAACCCTAAGACGATGAATGAACGCTCACTGCGTCAATGGCTAAATAAATCAGCCGATGTATGTGCTGCCTCTGCCTCTTATATTTGATAAAAAGATAAAATTCAGATTAAGTTGATCAATAATTAACAAAATAATAATTATCGATTTAGTTTGCTCAATCATTTCGGTCAATAATTGATAAAATGATAATTTTTGTTTACGCGTCATAATTGAAGTATTTAATTTTGTTTTATGAACTAAAAATGTATAACTAACTATGCAACTAAGTGCTATTTATTAACTGATATTCATAAGCATATTTACATAAATTACGGTATTTATACTATATACTTCTAATATGTCATTCCACGAACAAAAATTAAATAATGTAAATAACATGAATATTTCCACTTTTAGAAAAAAAAAAGTAAATTTAAAGCAAATAAATCATATGATCGTGTAGATACGCCTATAATGAATTATAAATTTTTAATTTGTAAACAATGAAAATATATATATATATATATCTTGAAGTAAATGGAAAATAAAATGGCCTTGTGATTTAACGAGCAAATAACTTACCATTTAGACTCCGCCCATAAAATATTTGGACTATATATATATATGTATATATATATATATATATATATATATATATATATATATATATATATATATATATATATATATATATATATATATATATATATATATATATATATATATATATATATATTTTTTTTTGTTCTTTAATTTTACAACTTTGTGATTTAATAAATATTCGTTAACAATGTATATATATATACATGATCGTTATTAAGAAATAAAAGAACGCGGGAACTCGTAGAAGACCGTAAGGTCTTGTCGTCGAGATCCGCTAAAAAATTTTCGTGTTAATATTTCGTATTAATAAAATATTCTCAAAATAAATAAACTTTCAATAGGAATATATACTTAACATACTTGAAGATAACAAATAATTAAGAATTAAGAATTGAAAACATAAACAAATTTAAAGAAAAAAAGAAAAAGAAAAACGGTTCCGTTATAAATACATAGATGCGTTATACAGTTTTAAGATATCTTTAGCACAATTGTTAAACTTTTTGTTAAAGGTTTTGTTATACAGTTTTAAGATACCTTTAACAAAAGTGTTAAACAACTGTTTACAAATTGTTAAATTATAAAATTTATTAATGCAGTGTTAAATATAAAGTTAAAAAAAGAAACAAAAAATTAAAAGAATATAGATATATCCCAGCAAACAATAGACGTCTTTTAGACCGTCTAAAATTGGTCTAATTTGTATCTATTGCCGATACGTATATTTTAGACGTATATTAGAGATCGAAAAGACGTCTGATTCTAGAGATACTATTTTTGCTCTGTTTTAGATGCATACTGGATGCATAAAATAGATCGTGCATAGATAATTTTTTTTTCATCTAAACTTAGATGTCTATAAGATGTCTTTTATAGATTTGTTATAAAAACAAGAAAAAAATTTTAGCTAATTTTACGGAGCGATAATTATAAATGACCGCCATTTAAAAACCCTGCGGAAACTTATTTCGAAAAAAGCATGAAGATTTTAACCTATGGAAGACATCAATGATTATTTCTTTTGATAAATTTTAAATAATAAAATAACATGCTATTAGAGTTCACAAAATATTTCGATGCTTAGCATGTTTGCTAAAATCCTTGAAAAAATGAAAATTGATTGAAAGCATGCTGAAATTGTTTAAATTCAGAAATTGAAAGAGTACAAAATTGGTTGAAAGATTAAATTAAGTAACAGGTATGGTTGAGGGATTATTTATAGTTCTAATTATAATTATTTCTTTTGAATAGAGTTGTTATCAGATTCAAAGATTGAAGAAGATAATTTTTCTTCACATTTTATTGATGAACAGAATAAAACTAAGCAAAGTTCACATTGTCAAAGAGTTTCAAGTTTTAATATGATTATTTTTGGTTTTTACACCACTGAATGTGAATGTGGAGGTTTTTTTTATTAATTTGTTTTTGTATTAAAATATTTGTAAAAGATAGGTATAAAAGAATAGAAATAGATTATTTATAATATTGTGGTCCGATAAATCATGTGTGTAGCATTTTACCTTTAGTAGTTAAGCAAAATTCTTTAATATCGTAACCTTTTACAGGATAAATTTTTAGCTAATTTAAAAAGTAGGTTTTCCAAAATATTATGGCAACTTCTGCGATGGAGTAATTAAAAAACTTACATGTATTTTTGGAATTTTAGTTTGAGTTACTCAAGCATAATTTGAATTTTAAGGTTCTTATTTCATTGTTTTGCTATTTGGTTTTATGAGCTAAATATGTTAATCAATTTTTTTATTCTTGTTTGTAGAGATGCAAAATGTTATTCTCAAGGAGCTTGCAGAAATAAAAGTTCTTTTAAAAGAAGTTATAGAAATTAAGTTTCAGGCTACTGGGGTGAAGTTGCTAGAATCAGTAGACGAAGTGGTTACACTGGATAATAAACTAAAAGATAAAACCGAGTATACTAATTTGGTATAATCTAATTATCTTAATTTTTAATAAGTTTGTTTAAATTTGGTTTACTAGTTTGGTTTACTAGTATTAAATTTGGTTTACTAGTATTTGTAAATGAACTCAAATAACTAGCTTGTGTTAGACTCAATATGTTGTAAAGAAAATTAAGTTACACTAGTTTTTATTACATTTATTTCAGCTTTATAGTTTGAAAAAGATTGGTGGTGGAAAGCCAAGAGAACATGTTTTTTTGATCATGAAAAGGTAATGATTATGTTTTTATTAATTATTAAAAATATGATTAAAAGGGACCAGAAGCAATTCATTTTGACCGTTATTTGTTATGGATTTACTTTTAACATGACAATTTGATAAACTCGGGAGCTTCACTGTAGGTGTTTAAGTTTGTTTGTGTGCTAAAGTAAGTGTAATGCTAAACCTTGTTTAGCATTTTATTTTCAAATTTAATGCTTTTACTTTTCATAATTTTAAGCATTCATATACTAAAATATATTTTAGTTTATTACATATATTAAATAAAAATCTTTATAAATATATTTCAGTTTATTGTTAAAATATTTATCAGGTTATTTTCGAATCAGTTACAGTCCGAATTTAATCGAAAAGGAAATGGGGAAAAGATAAGCTTAGAAAATCTAGTAAATATATTGAGTGTTTTACGAGGTAAAGTTTTAATAGTATTTACAAAACTGATATCTGTATTAAAAAGATATTCTTCGACTTTTTTGTGTCATGCTAGAATTTATTGTATCCATAATACAAGTTCCTTTAGTTTTTACATAAAAAAATTGTTGTTTATTATTGTATCTGGTTGAGATACAAATCTTATTGTTTATATATATATATATATATATATATATATATATATATATATATATATATATATATATATATATATATATATATATATATATATATATATATATATATATATATATATATATATATATATATATATATATACATATATATGTGTATATATAGTATTGGACAAAACATTTGCAACCAACATTGAACAATGCTAAAAAGTGTTCCTAATTTTATGTCTTAAAAATGAAACGAACTATACAACCACAGCAAACAGTTCAGGAGTCTGGAGGCATAGCATACCATAATATGAGCAATCATCTGACAGGTGACAGCACACAGGCAGAATTTCGTTGACAAGTGCCATTTTGCAGCATACAAAACAAGTGCAACTTTTTTGGTTTGTTTCATTTTCTCAAATCTGGTTCGTGTCAACGTCACGGAAGTTTTTTAATAATTAAAGGAAATATCCAGAAGTTTCCAGAAGCATGCAGAAGCATCCAGAAGTTTCCAGAAGAAACATCCAGAAGTATCCAGAAACATTCAGAAGCATTCAGATGCATCCAGAAGCTTCCAGAAGTGTTGAAAAGAAGCATCTAGAATCTTCCAGAACAGGTTCACACAGGTTTATTTTACTATATAAGAGACATGTAATTCAGTCAGTATATGGAAGTCAATCAGTCAGTATTATCAAGACAGTTTATCGAAATGAGGTTTATCAAAGTGTTTTATCGAAGAACATCAATACCAGAAGTGAAATACAACAAGTGTTTCAATACATCAATACAGTCCACATCCAACCAAGACGTTATGTTCCACAGAGCAATATTTTATCATCACAAAGTAAATGTAACACGGTAAGCCTTGAGAAGTGTGGTTATTTATTTTTATTATTTTTATGACTTCAAGTGCAAAAATGGTTCCCGACAGTCTTGGATTGGAACTAAGAGAGAAAATTATTTGCGATTACTTAAGTGGAATGTCACAAAAAAGTATTTGTGATAAATATCGCGTGAAAAAATAGATCGTATCAAGACTATGTTCCAAATATTGTTCCACAGGGAAGTTGGCAGCAGATAACAATGGTGGAAGACCTCGTTCCACCACTTCTAGAGAGAATTCTATGATCATCAGATCTGTCGAGAAGGATCCCTGGATATCATCAGTTGAGATACAAAAGCAATTAGAGCTGCCTGTATGTCAAGCAGCCGGAAAACGCCTTGATTTACGTTCTGCCATAAGCCTGTGAAGCATGGTGGAGGCAATGTAATGGTCTGGGGGTGTTTTTCTGCTAACGGTCTAGGTCCAATACATCAAATCGATGGAATAATGGATCGTTTCATGTATAAAAATACCCTGAAAGATGTTATGTTACCTCATGCTGAATGGAATATACCAATAAAATGGGTTTTTCAGCAAGACAACGATCCCAAACACACTGCAAAAGTAGTCAAGCAGTGGTTTCAAGACAACCATCTATTGGTGATGGATTGGCCGCCTCAATCTTCGGATCTCAACCCTATCGAGAACCTGTGGGAGATCGTTAATCAGAGTTAATCATGAATGTGTTCGTAATAAGGATCAACTGTTTGATCAAATCCAAAAGGCCTAGGCAGTGATTCCACAAAGTTTCATTGATCACCTGATCGAATCTATGCCTTAAAGATGCAAGGCTGTGATCGACAACAAAGGATTCACCACAAAATATTGATAGCAAATTACAGCTTGGTCAACATTTTGTGGAGTTGCACTTGTTTTGTCCAGAAGGAAATCAACTTTTTTTAATACTTTTGATTAATTTATTAATTTTCGTGTACAAATAATGAACTTTGTGATGAATAAAATTTGAAGAACGTTTTCTCTAAACAGTTACATAGTTATTTCTCTAAATTGAAAAAATGCAGCACTTTTATACAAAGAAACTAAATTAGCATCATTTGGTTGCACTAATTTTGTCCGATACTGTATGTGAATATATATATATATATATATATATATATATATATATATATATATATATATATATATATATATATATATATAATATTTCATAAAAATAGATTCAGAATTCTACATGTCTTTTAAAGTCATTTAAATGTCATTAATGTATATATTTTAGATATCGGCGACGTGGAAGAAAATGTTGACGGCAATGCAGAAATATAGTTTCTTATGTATATTTTTGTGAAATAAAAATTAAGTAATTTTAGTTAAAATGTTTCTTTACTTATTTAATTTAATCCTTTTTTATGACTAATTTTTCCGCTGTAACACCTTTGTATCAAACAAGTCCCAGCAAACAAAAAGATATTTAAAATGCATCTAATATGCATCTAAAAACTGGTTTAAAAGACGTCTAAATTCACGTCGTGAACGGGACATAAATAGATGTCTATCTTATAGATGTCTTTTAGATGTATTTCATTCGACACAAATAAATGCCTTAGATGCATAAAAGATGTGAAATATACATTTAAAGATGTATATTAGATGTATATTAGATGCATAAAAGAGCTATTATTAGCTAAAAAATTATCTATTATCTATCTTTTTTAAACGCGCCTTAGACATCTATTTAAGAGACGTATTTTATACATCTAATATGCATCTGTAAGATGTATATTTCACATCTTTTATGCATCTAAGGCAATTATTTGTGTCGAATAAAATGCATCTAAAAGACGTCTATAAGATAGACGTCTATTTATGTCCCGTTCTAGACCTGAATTTAGACATCTTTTAGACCAGTTTTTAGATGCATATTAGATGCATTTTAGATATCTTTTTGTTTGCTGGGATCATCTAATAAAAAAATGACTTTTTTAAGTTTTTGTTTGAAAGAGTGATAGCTAACTTCTTGAGAAAAGTCAAAGTTCTTTAAAACTATTTTATTCCAAAGTAATGCTCCTCGAAATGAAATACAGTATTTTCCAGAATTAGTTTGATAAGCTGATATATATATATATATATATATATATATATATATATATATATATATATATATATATATATATATATATATATATATATATATATATATATATATATATGTATATATATATATATAGATTACTCTTTTTTTACGGTGGCAACCGTAAACAAAGAGTAATCCTAGGCGATGCCGAATCGGATTGGGCGCCAGTCTCCAGCGGTGTTCCTCAAGGGTCGGTATTGGGACCACTACTCTTCGTTATCTTTATAAATGACTTGCCAAATATGATTAGTTTAATCTGTAAAGTATTTGCTGATGATACCAAACTGCTTGCCCCAATTCGACTTAATGAGGAGCAGAACAATTGTATTGTGCTCCAAAATGATTTTGACGCTATAACGGAGTGGACAAGAATATGGCATATGAGGCTAAACATCTCCAAATGCAAAATTCTTCATATTGGTCGCTTGAACAAAAACTATACCTATACAATGCACGATATCGATAAGTTGATTCGACTTGGAATCTAGCTCATCACAACGTGACTTAGGCATCATAATTAGCAATAACCTCAAACAAAACGCCCATGTTTGCACTGCTATTTCTAAAGCAAACAAGATGCTTGGGATGCTTAAAAAGAAATTTGTTTCCCGCAATGTAGAACTTTGGAAAAAGTTATACATAGTGTACGTGCGTCCTCATCTTAAATTCTCTGATTCAAGTTAGAACCCACATACGATTAGGGATATATATGTATTTGAGAGAGTCCAAAGACGCGCTACTAAAATAGCCCACAATATAAAGCATCTACCTTATGAAAATAGATTAGACATTTTAGACTTGACCCCCATTGAAGAAAGACGTCAGCGTGGTGACTTGATTCAACTTTTTAAAATCGAATCTGGAAATAAAATAGTTAACTGGCACCACACCCCGATCCGATCTGCGCCACGCCATGGACATTGAAATCGACTGATCAAGGAGATAGTTAGAAATAATAACAATAGAAGCAATTTTTTTTGCAAACCGAGTTATTAACAGCTGGAATAGCCTACCAGACGAGATTGTTAATGCTGGAATCCTAAACGCATTCAAAAACCAGTTGGACAGGTTCCAACAAAACCGCCACAGTGCCATAAAGGCTCTATGCATCATACTAACTAACTAACTATATATATATATATATATATATATATATATATAAATATGTATATCTATGTATATATATATGTAAAAAAAGTCTCTTTCGACTACAATTTTAATTACCTCGTCTCTTAAGCTGTATTTGATTGTCGTCGAAATGTCAAAGCAATTAAATTAATGCGGAAGTACATTAAATTTTATTGTTTTTTAAAAAAATTTTATAAAACCGCAATAATAACGACTAGAAAGTTTTTTTTAATTAGTGGTGTTTTTGTTTTTGTTTTATTAAAAAACATTTTTAAAACATGCGTAAATGTTGCAACATCGACTATCTCATAGCCTGCTGCTACAAGGGAGTGTTTCTACATCGACTGGCAAATAGCCTGACTCGCAAGGGAGTGCTGCTACATCGATTGACAAATAGCCTGACTCGCAAGGGAGTGCTGCTACATCGACTGAGGGTTTGGTTTGGGCAGGCAGTCTATCATTTGAAAAAAAAAAAAATTAAGTTTTTAAACTTTTTCTGGTCTGGTTTATTAACGCGCTCTTTAAAATTGGTTTTCCTAGAAAAATTGGCAAATTCTAAATGAAATAGTTGGCAAACCAGAAATTAATACATCATGTTTTTCAAAAATTTTAAATAATAAAAATAAAACTATTGACAATGAAAAAAATAAAGCAAAAGAATTTAACAACATTTTTGTGAATATAGGACCTCAACTAGCCGCAAAAATTCACAATAAAAATAAATAATTCATAGAATACCTCCAATTTAATAAAAAATGAATTTAAAAATAAAGGATTGACTTTTAAAGAATTTGAAACAGCTTTAAGCAGCTCAAAGCAAATCTCCTGGATTTAATGACGTAAATGGCAACATCGTAATTGACTGCTATAATGAATTAAATTGCCTTTATTTCAAATTTGTTTTCATTGAAAGAGGGTGTTTTTCCTGTAATACTTGAAGCAGCTAAAGTTAAGCTTATATTTAAATCAGGTAATAAAATCTATATAGATAATTACAGACCAATATCAATACTTTCCATTTTATGCTAAGATTTTTGAACGAGTTATGTTTAACAGATTATATACCTTTTTTAAAGATAATAATTTATTTTATTAAAAGCAGTTTGGATTTAAATATTCCAATACAACATGCAATACTATACTTAATTAATGAAATAAAAAGTTTTTTTGCAAACGGAGAATTTACACTAGGTGTATTTATCGACCCCTCCAAGGCGTTTTATACACTGGATCAGAAAATACTTGTATAAAAACTTAAGATGTATGGTATAAGAAACATATTAAACAGATGGGTAGCAGGCTATCTAAATAAACGTACGCAATCCATATATTGTCGAAATAATAAGCAAACAAGTTCATCTTTGATTTTTTAAGAAGTGCCCCCAAAGGTCTATTCTTAAGCATTTTTTTTTTCCTTATATATCTCTAGAGAGCGTCAGGTTTATCATTAACTATGTTTGCTGATGATAGTAACTTTTTTATCTCAGGAAAAGATATACTTCAACTATTCGTTCAAAAGAATAATTAGTTAGAAAAATATTTAATAAAGTTCAAAGCAAACAAACTTTCTATTAATCCTAAAAAAACAAAGTTTTTGTTATTCCATCCTTCAAATAAAACAAAAATAATTCCTATTTCTTTTCCAAAATTAAAGATTGAAAAAACAGAAATTATTTGCAAAAAAGTAACAAAATTTCTTGGTATTCTCATCGACGAGAATATTACCTGGAATAAACATATTTCCTATATTGGCAACAATATATCAAAAAGTATTGAAATTCTATACCAATCAAGAAATCTACTAAATAAACATTTAAAACAAATATATTTCAGTTTTATACCAAAGTACTTAAATTATGCAAATACCGCATGGAGTAGTAATTCTAAAGGCAAACTAGGAACACTCTATAAAAAAAATATAGCAAAAAAATTTGCTAAAAACTATAATCTTTTTTGAACTAAAAAGTAAAAAATAAACTTTTTGATTAAAATTTAACAGTTCAGTAAACTAAAGATTGACAGGTATGTTTCTAAATAAATCTTGTGCAGACCTGTCAATCTTTAGTTTACTGAACTATTAAATTTTAATCAAAAAGTTTATTTTTTACTTTTTAGTTCAAAAAAGATTATAGTTTTTAGCAAATTTTTTTGCTATATTTTTTATTTTCTATTTTTTAGTCTTAACAAATTTTTCATATGAAATACAAAACTAAAAAAAATTATTAAAAAAATTAAAAAACTAAAATACAAACCTACAAGCAATCTTGCCGATCTAAAAAAAAAATTTATTAGTAAAAAAAATTTTTTTAAATAAATAAACCCGCAAGCAATTTAGTGACTAACTTTTAATAAAAAGAAAAGTTGCGAGTCGTTGAAGGACGATAAAGTTACTTGAGGAAAAGTTCAAAGCAAGTGAAAAAAAAGATTATAAAAAACAGAAACATGCTTTAAGAATGACGAATTTTATAAATAAAAACAAACATGCAAAACTACTTTTAGAAAGTATGAATGTTAATACAATATATGAGCTAAACATTTAAAATTTTATGTCTCATGTACAAAAGTAAATTTCAACAAGTACTTCAATTTTTCATGATCTCTATGGAATAAAACCTAACTTTATATATACTTTGCGCACAACAGGCACCTTAATTGAAACTTAATGCATAACTAAGCAGGAACAATTTAAAACTACATATCATGCTCCTCATATTTGGAATAAAATCTTAGAAAAACTTAATATTATAATATTACGTTTACAAAATATAAATTTTACAAAATATATTTAACAAAATTTTATCAAAATATAAGTTTACGTTAATATTACGTTTACAAAATATAAATTTCTTGCAAAAACTAGTTAAAAAAAACAAAGAGTATACAAGTCTTGTCTTAATGATTTAGTATTAGTATTAGTAATTGCTGTAACTGGTGTGAGCCAGTGAATGTGGGTATTAACAAACTATGACAGCCGATTCTCTTGATTGTTGCTCATCCAGCGACCTGTTTTAAAACTGTTTACTGATTGTGCTTTAACCAACTCGTTAGGAAAGCTATTTCATAAATTGGCTGATCTATTAAATAAAAAGTTTTCCCGACATGTTTGCTCAGTGATTTCTTAAACATGTTTAAAACTGTGACCTCGCGTTTGAATTTGTTGAATACTAATTTTTTGAATTGTTTCCAAATCGTTAGAACCGTTGAAGAATTTAAAAAGTTGAATTTGTTTAGTGATTTCTTTTTGTGTTTTTATTTTAATTACAGCTTACTTTTTGTATTTTATTTTAATTATAAACTTTGAGAGTTTTTTTGCTTTTAATGCTATTTATTTTTTAACTTTTCTGACGTTTGTTTTTAACACCATTGTGAAAAACTTAAATTGCAAAACATGAATGGTCTGGTCTTCTGCGAGTTTCCGGCGGTTTTTTTTTAACTATAATAATGTTATTTTTTAAAAATTTTTAATAGTAAACTTTTATACACATATACTTATAATTTGTTTATTTTTGAATGTATATAAGATTGTAAATGTATATGTAAGAATGTATATAAGAATGTTATTTATACAAAATTGAATTGTAAAAGAATGAAAAAAATGGTTAAAAAAAAATAATAATAATAAAGCTTGTCAAAATAAATTGGTTTTGCTTACTTTGCCTAAGAGACCTTCAACAAGATAGTAGCCGAAAGTAGTAAACATCCGCCCAAGTTGAATATTTTTAATGAGACACCATCTTTAGATTTCCTCAACAAAGAGCCGCTAAATAGGGGGCATTTTAACTCCAACAGCATTTTGATGTTTGAGAAAATTAACTTTCAGACATAGAGCAAACTTCAGCTTTGGCATGTTTATTCATATATCAAATGAAAAAGCAAAAAATTGCTGTGAGACTGGGAACAACAAAATCTTTAAAACTTGTACTCTCTGTGCGAGTAATAACCTCAGTTTTATATTATAAACTAAAATTTACCGTTAGACTTTAAATTTCATTAAATAATGTTATAGTGTTTGAAATTTATGTAAAATTAATAACCCTTTCATTTTGAGGGGTTTGGAAACTCTACATAGTCATAAAATTAAAAATTAAAAACGTTTGGGAAAGAATGCCCGAAGCAAGAGTGTTTAAAATTTGAAATTAAAGATGCTACATTTCCGTCCCCAAACTATCTACACCCACCCCTTTTTTTTTGAGTTTTTATGATAAATTATGCTGATTCGGAGTAGTATTATAATTTGAATTGATCATATCAAATTTATATAAATTTGTATCAATTGATTATATTAATGCTTTTTTGATAAATTTCAGATTGGTTTAATTCTAAATAATGAGTTTCATCTAAAAATCTCCGTAATTAAAAATAACTTTGCGTTTTGTTTCGTGGAATCCTCTTTGAAAATAATATTTTTAACTTTTTATTCTTCTTAAAAATGAATTTCTTTATAAAAACAAAAATAAAAATGAATATTTTTTTAATAGAAAATCTTCATTTTGTATTATTGTTGCGTCATAAACTTTATTGTACGCGTTTTATTTCAAGATTCATATTTATAACGTATATTTCAATTTTATTTTTATTTATCATAGTTTATTATTTACAATAATGGAAAAGGTTTTTTTTTGTATAATGTCAAGAGTTAGTCTTGGAAATCTTGTAATAAAAATATTTTTATTGCCAAGTTATTTTTTACGTTCTATTTTGACAAAAAAATAATTATGTGGTTTATTTTTTACGTTCTATTTTGACAAAAAAATAATTATGTGGTTTATTTTTTACGTTCTATTTTGACAAAAAAATAATTATGTGGTTTATATTAACTCTTAATAGTATCTTAAACAAATTTTTTATATACATAAAAAAAATCCTTCTAATCGAACAGTTGAGAGACTAACATGTAGATTATCCAATTAGATAATTATAGGAATCGAATCTTCGTCTAGGAGGTGGAAGCGGTAATCCTGTAAAATAAAAAAACATTGTAATAATGGGAGTTAAAAGGAAAATAATGAAATGTCACAGAATATACTCAGCCGATAAAAATACGAAGTCTTCGATCAATATAAAACGAAAAAAAAAAACAATCGATAAACTGCAAAGATTAGAAAAAGAAAAGAAAATCTATAAAATTTCCGACACATAAAATTACGACTTTTGTCGACATAATTTGTTACTTACGTCGACATAAGTACGACTACACGATTTTAAAATGTTGTGTTTTAAACTTGCAATTCAAAACAAAGTCAAGAAATAAAAATTAAAATAGTATATTACAAATATTAAACATAGGTTTATTTTTAAACTTCTTCTTTTTTACAAGTCTTATTTTTTGATGTTAGTTTTAAAAACTTTACTTAACTACTGCATCTAATGTTAATTTAAAAATTTTTACCAAAATGTTGTTTTAAACGAAACGCAAAAACGCTTTTATTCCTTAATATTCAAAAAGGTATTCAATGTCGCAAAACCTAAAATGTTTCCTTAACAGCAGCAAAATTCACTGCCGCAAAACGCGAGTATTTTTGTTACAGCGAAACGCTAAATTTTCTCACCAAAACAAAATGTTTTCATTATAGCAAAACGCAAAATTAAATAATAAATGTAAAGCTAAAATGTTTTTGAAGAAAAGAGAATTTTTTGAACTCTGGTTTTTGCTTACTAAGTTCCGATCATAAACCTGTGTTTCTTCGTAATTTGCTTGCCTTTTGGTGTGTGCAATTTTAAAGGAACACTAATTGGCGGATTTGGTCTAACTGACTTTTCATTATTAAGAGATTCGTAAGAATCCTTGATCTTTTCTTCTGCTATGTTTAATTCAGTCATTGATTCAGAAAGCTGAGGTCGAGGCTTAGATTCTGAATGCAAGTCATGAAGGAAATTAAATTGTTCATTTTTTCGGGGAATATTTTCGGGTTGTTCTGCAACACCCGGCAGTCTTTGCGCCTCTATCCGACCAGCGTTGTTTATAAGACGGTGTTCTTTATTAAAAGTATCTACGCTGTCCATCATTTCATTTGAACTGTCAACAGCTGGTAGTTCTCTAGATTCAGACAATGCAATATGGTTTTCCCTTTTGCACTATAAAAGAAAATAAAAAATATGGTTTTCCCTTTTGCACTATAAAAGAAAATAAAAAATATGGTTTTCTCTTTTGCACTATAAAAGAAAATAAAAAATATGGTTTTCCCTTTTGCACTATAAAAGAAAATAAAAAGTATGGTTTTCCCTTTTGCACTATAAAAGAAAATAAAAAGTATGGTTTTCCCTTTTGCACTATAAAAGAAAATAAAAAATATGGTTTTCCCTTTTGCACTATAAAAGAAAATAAAAAATATGGTTTTCCCTTTTGCACTATAAAAGAAAATAAAAAATATGGTTTTCTCTTTTGCACTATAAAAGAAAATAAAAAATATGGTTTTCCCTTTTGCACTATAAAAGAAAATAAAAAATATGGTTTTCCCTTTTGCACTATAAAAGAAAATAAAAAATATGGTTTTCCCTTTTGCACTATGAAAGAAAATAAAAAATATGGTTTTCCCTTTTGCACTATAAAAGAAAATAAAAGCCTAATGTTTAAGCAAATAAAAAACTACCGCATTTAAAGTTGTAACTTTTAGTATAAAATTTGCATCTTTTAAGTGTTTAAAACTACAACTTTAAAAATATTTAAAAATTACGACTTTAAAATGTATTTCAAAACATTGTTAAGTAAAAATTAAAAAAAAAAAAAAAAAGTAATAATATTAAACTTACTTTGTAAACTAGATTTATTAATTTTATATCTTGGTCGCTAAGTTTTGTTCTTTGCCCCATCCTTCCCATTTTAATATTCGGATTTTTAGGCATAATGGTTGGCTTACCATTCACAGAGAAAGCAGACGGAAGAAAGTTCATGATGCTATCGTAATCGTACCTGCAAACAAATTATTGAAATAAATATAATTATATAATTTTGACATATGTATATATATATATATATATATATATATATATATATATATATATATATATATATATATATATATATATATATACATATATATATATATATATATATATATATATATATATATATATATATATATATATATACATATATATATATATATATATATATATATATATATATATATATATATATATATATATATATATATATATATATATACATATATATATATATATATATATATATATATATATATATATATATATATATATATATATATATATATATATATACATATTTCGCTAAAAAAAAAAAATAAACAAAAATAGGCATAGATTACCTCATCCTACCCTACTACAAATATTTTTTTTATGACTTTTTATTTTAAATAAGTTCTTATATTTAATTTTTTTTTACTACTTAAAATATATTTCAATTATTTTTTTAAAGGTATTTAAAAAAAAAGGATATCAAATAAAATAACTTTTTGTAATGTTAAAGTACAATGTAAACTACGAGCTTAGTGATAAAGTTATTATTGTCTTCTTCTTTGCATGGCCATTTAAAAAATTTTTTTTACATTTTAATATTGTAGCAATATTTAAATTGCAAAATATGTATAAAAAAAACAACAACATACGATTATATATGATTATATATTTATATTAGGAGATGACAACCTGCGGTTCGCGAGCCACATGCGGCTCTATTATTCAAATTACGTGCTCGTTATGGTCAATAAGCAATAATCAAAAAGAAGGGGGCGTGAACTTCTTAGTTACGAAGAACCAGAGTGAACTTCTTAGTTACGAAGAAGCAGTGAGAACTTCTTAGTTACGAAGAACCAGTGTGAACTTCTTAGTTACGAAGAAGCAGTGAGAACTTCTTAGTTACGAAGAAGCAGTGAGAACTTCTTAGTTACGAAGAAGCAGTGAGAACTTCTTAGTTACGAAGAAGCAGTGTGAACTTCTTAGTTACGAAGAACCAGTGAGAACTTCTTAGTTACGAAGAAGCAGTGAGAACTTCTTAGTTACGAAGAAGCAGAGTGAACTTCTTAGTTACGAAGAAGCAGTGAGAACTTCTTAGTTACGAAGAAGCAGTGTGAACTTCTTAGTTACGAAGAAGCAGTGTGAACTTCTTAGTTACGAAGAAGCAGTGTGAACTTCTTAGTTACGAAGAAGCAGTGTGAACTTCTTAGTTACGAAGAAGCAGTGAGAACTTCTTAGTTACGAAGAAGCAGTGTGAACATTTCTTCTTAAGATTCAAAAGGTTATAAAAAACGTAAATGTAAAAAAAAGTTGTAAAAATAGTCAATAAAGTTGTCTCCTTAAAAGCATTTAACCAACGCAAATTTTATTTATTACTTTATAAGATTAAAATAATGTCAGAAGCTTTGCTTAAATCATTAATATAAAATTAAAATAAAAGTGGTCCAAGTATAGACCTTTGAGTAATGCTGAAAATAATATGGTTATTTTTTAAACTATAAGAAATGCGGTTGAACAACATTATGCCACCTAAATTGTGCTACTTGGGTAAGTTTTATAAACTTTTTATTACTTTTTTAAATAAGTTAATCAGATTTCTTTGCAACCCATAAAACGGGAAGTTCTGAATAGAACATAATATCTGACATTTTGGTTAGACATTTTTTTTTAAAGTATATTATACAATAAAGTTTGTTATAATAAACAAAAAAAACTTACGGTAAATTATATTTATCGGTCAAATAGTGTGGATATTTATCAAAATGTTCCAGTTTTCCTATAAAGTTATAAGAAGTTTGTTAAAAATTACCTATACGTTTCAAATATTTATTTCTACTTTACAAATTAATATACATTTAAATATAAATATATAAATACTATACATTTAAATTTTAACAATAATAGATTATTTATAATAGATAAATACTTGATTTTATGTAATATTTAATTATTTTATATAACAATAATAGATAAATACTTGATTTTATGTTTTCAACCATAATTGTGATAGCTTTGTCTCTAATCATTCTAGTATGCTCATGAAGAAAACCTAATGTGTGCATAAGTTCGTGCAAAGCCGATCCTAAAAAATTCGAATTTGTTAAGTTGCTTTTTTTTAATTTAATTTAATTTAATGAAATTATTTTATATAATTTTTATATTTCATAAAGTTATTTTTTTCTAGGTTTTTAAATAAAGTTTTATTAAACTTTGTGTTATTTTACGGATATCAATGTAAACTTCATTATTATTTATTATAATTTTTTAAAAAATTATTCCATTCCGGGATACCAAGTGATACCAAATGTTTTTGTTAAGAAGTAATAATAGTAATAATAAATGTAATAAGTAATAAGAAGTAATAATAGTAATAATAAATATAACAAAATAGCAAAAGTTGGTAGTTTTGATAAAATATTTTTCAACTGAGAACTTTTCAAAGCCGTTATTTTTTAGTAAAATATTACAATATTGATAAGTAAAAGAATGCGCACAAGAATAAAAATAAATACATGAATTATTGAACCTATATTTAGTATTTCACGAATAACGTAAAATCATTTTAATTACTACTGTTATTAATTTGTATGGTTATTTAAGTGCTCCCAGAAGTCCTTACGGTCTTATCACAGAGAACTGCGGAAGAGCATTTAATTTATCACGTGGTTTGAAACCGGCTAGAGCCGGTTTCAAACCAGGGCCTCTTGGTTGTGAGACAGAGTTCTAACCACTGCGCCACGGCTGCACAATTATGATCATGGGGTACCAAGTAAAGGGCACCATGATTATTTAAAAGCGTACTATGCTCTTAATGCTTTGTTTGATTTTTAATGCAGTTAATTCGCGGAAAGTCAAACACTGGTCGATTCGAACTTTTGTATCTTTAACTGTTTCATTTAGTCCATTAAAGTTTTCTAATTACTATTAAAATTCTCCTTTTAAGTCGAACATCAGATAACTTCAACTTTGTAAAGTCGAACCATTTTATTGTTCATTCGAGCAAATTTCATTGGTTAACTCGAACTTTTTGATTCGGAAACAAAGAAATCAAATTAACTTGATTTGAATTATTTTAAAAGTCATTCTAAACAAAAGATAAGTAATAGCAGCCAAATATTTTAAATAATTTTTCGTTGTATTTAGATCTGAGAAGAATAAATTGTCATCAGACGTAAAATAATGCTATAATAAAACTGTTACAAAATCATATTATATATACTATAAAATATAGGTAATTAAGCAATTATTTTATAGTTTTAATAAACTTCTTAATAAAAGATTGCCAGCTAAACAAGAATATCATGAGCTTACAGTAGAACTTTAATGAGAAGGTATTTTTACCGTACGTTGAACAGTTTCAATATATATATATTTTTTTTAGTTATTAAGGTACTCCAAAAAGACCTAACGGTCTTATCACAGACCACCGCGGAAGACCATTTTACAAGGAAGTTTACGTCTTCATCCAATGTTGCTTATTGTGACGGCATCGAACGTCAAACTCTTAGCCAGAACTTTAGCAAATATTTTCAGACAAAAATCTTTCAGCCAAAATCAAGTTTACTAATCAAGTTGCTCAAAAGCAATTAATAATTATTATCTAAGGATAGTATTACAATAGATTGTTCAAAGGGAAATTGCTTGTGTATCAATCAATAATGATTGTTTAAAGCGAATTTAAAAATGATTTTCTAAAAGGAATTGATAAGTAAGGGAATTATTAAGTATTTTATTACACCAAAAAAGCTTAGAAAATAATTTTTATTAAGTTCTCTTGTAGAGTTCTGTTATAAAAATGTATTTTACCTTAATTTTATTCAACGCATGGTTTTCATTGCGAACGTACATGTTTTTGCTACTTAAAATTTGACAAAGAAAAAAATAATAAAAGAAAGAAACATATATATATATATATATATATATATATATATATATATATATATATATATATATATATATATATATATATATATATATAAATAAGCAGAAAGAAACATATATATTAACAACAACAACAACAAAAATAACATTAAAATTAGTATTATAAATTTATAATATAATATTATTTAAAATAATGGCAGTAACACTTGTGGAAAATAAAAAAATGATAAAAGATTGTTTACAAAAGTACCAAGTAAAAATAGAAGATGCGCTAAAGCAACAAGAAAACAACTTTATAAATATCGTTAGTGCAAGCACCAAAATCTTAAGCGAGAGATTGGACAAAGAAGAAAAAAATATTTTAGAAAACGCTTAAAAGATATCAATACTTGCAACAGAAGTTGAAAAAATAAAAGTTAGTTTAAATTTTCATGAGGAACTGATTGAAAACAAAATTAAAACTGCATTAGATATTTTCATGAAAAATAAACCTACTTACATCGAAATTCCGAATAACAACATTGAACTCAAAAAAATTAATAGCAAGCTAAGAGAAATAGAAGACAGATCAAGAAGGAACAATCTAAAAGTTGAAGTTAAAAAAAGATGATAATAAAAGCTGTCTGGAAAGCGAATTAAAAGTAAAAAAAATATTTGATGAGTACTCGCGCATAAAAAATGTAAAAATTGAAAGAGCGCATAGAGCTGGTAAAAAAGATATAAAAAAGCACAGAGCAATTGTTGTGAAATTATTGGACTTTAAAGTTAAGGAAGTAATTTTAAAAACTCTTCAAAGTTAAAGGAAAAGAATATTTTTGTCAACAAAGGTTTTTGCTCGGAGACAAATCGAATAAGAAAAGACTTGTGAGAGAAAATGAAAATTGAAAGACAATCGGGAAAATTTGATTTCGGGTAAATTAGGGTAATATGAGCATCTTGGTAATATGAGCATATCTAAAGATTTCTTATATGTAAGAAATGAAGTTAAAGTTGCTTTGTATTTTTCGAATCGACTTAACGTGATGATGATAGGAATCAGTACAATTAGCGTAAATTTATATGGAATAATAAGCGGCTATTATCTAATTAAAATTCTGTTAAATTTTTTGATTTGTTAAAATAATATCATCACGCATAAATAAATCTGTAACGCGAAATTTCGGTGCTAAAATAATGAAATTAACTTTTTCATAAAGAAAAATATGTTAGCTAAAAATCCAATCCATTTTTGTTTGAAAAATAGTACGTAGAAACATTTAGTTTGACTTTATTTAAAGATGCCATTTTTGTGTAATATGAGCATGCTCAAATTAACCAGTGTTTTTCATTGAAATTACCTAGTTTAAAGTCCTAAAATAGCATTGGTTTTAATTACTTTTTAAATAAAACAATTTTATTATTTTAACAATACTAAAAAAATTTCTGTAATTTTAATTCAAAAAATTTAAATTTTTTTGGTTTAAAGGTTTAATAAGTTAGAAAAAAAAAATTTTTTTTGCAACAACTTAGTTAAAACTTTAATTTTACAATGGAAGTCTATTTTATTCATATTATGATGGTGTAAAAAAATTGTAATTAATATGAAGTTGTGAAAATATTAAAAAAAAAAAAAATTAAAAAATTAAGGAATCAAAATGATAACAAAATGCGTTACAAAAGATTGTTTAGCAGGTTATCTTTTTGGTTTGTTTTTCAATCATTCACCGTTTAACCGTTCATCGTTCATGAGATATGTTAGATTTAGTAAAAATTGCTTAACTAACCCCGCTCTACACTAAACTACTTTGTTTATTTTTTTATTTTAATTTTTTTGCGTACGACTTTATTTTGTGTTTTCTAGCGCAGTTGACTAGCAAAAAAATTTTTTTTTTTTTTACTTTTTTAAATAGAATCATAAAATGTTTTTTCCAACATTTTTTCTCTAAGGAGTCGTCTCTAAAATACGTTACGCTAGGAGGAGGGGAATGGTAAGTAGTTATGTGACGACTTGTACGAGACTTGCTACTGAAGAGTTACTGAATGTGACAAAGGAGAAAGGGGTCAAAAATTGTTAACGTAATTTATGGACTACCCCTAATTTATTAATGAAGTAAATTAGTAATATTGTATGTACTTTTTTAAATGTTTTTTTTTTTTAAGAAATATTATTATTTATTGTTGTTTTTATATTTTAGCTAGTTCTTATTATATATTAGCACTTGTTAACATAGTAGCGTATAATAATATTTCTAGAACTATAAGTTAGTATTAAAATCATGTGACGTAAATAGTTTGGCATTTATTTATGAAATGATATTACCTTTGTTGTTACAAAAATCACCGAGACTAATTTCCTGTTCTCCGCCAACACGTGCTAATTCTGACCAACATCTAAATATGAAAATATTCGTAAAACAAATAATATTCGTAGAGTGCAAGTTTACATTTGTAACAACTAACTAGTATTATAAGATAATTGTTCTTCAATTATTACTTAATTATAAATTGCCGTTATAATTACAATTCGTTTCATGAAAATTATATGGTTTTTTTTTTAAGAATTTGAAGTTGAAGACATAAGTGGACGAGGAGTTAAATTATAAGGAGTTAAAGTTTTGAACACGTTTTGTTTTACACGTTTTCTATATCAAAGATAAATCAAAAAATTAAGTAATATAGTAATCAAAATAGCATTATTAAAACTATATATATAAAGATATTATGTATAAAAGTATGTTAAATAAGGAAACTTGTATTTTTGCGACATAACGCCATTATCCAATTGACTTATTAAATAGTATAACTATTTTACAAATTTCATATAGAACATTAAAGAAAAATGAATGAACGGCATATACTTAACTAATATAAGCAATAACGCAGTAAACCACAATAAAAAGTCTTAAGTTTAAAAAACTTAACCCAAACTGGTAACCCAAATTTAACTTCTTAATTCTGATGTTACAACGTTTTTAGTTTTTCTTCAAAGCTATTTATGATTTTTTTTACTTGTCATGCCAAGTAAAGGCGAGTTTCCACTCATCCGTTTTTCAACGGGAACGGGATAGGAAAGGAAAAAATAATCACGTGAGCATGCGTAATAAGAAATTTTATTTGTCCGAAAGAAAACTGCGCATGCTTACGTGATTATTTTTCCGTTCCCTTTCCCTTTCCCGTAGAAAAACGGATGAGTGGAAACTCACCTTAAGTCTCTTCTAGTCTTTTTAACTATCTAAAGGGACATTGTTAGTAAATGGACAGTATTAGATTTCTTGGCAAATCAAAGACTTAACAATGCACAACAAGCTGGGACAATTGTAGTTAACTATGACTATTCTTAAGATGACAATTTTTTTAGTAGGCTTGAATTGTGGCCTAAAAAAGTAATGACTGTCATCGCAGTGACTTACTTGGTCTTCCATGAAAAAATGGTTTTTAAGATAAATTTGAAAGAAAATGTTATTTTTATGAATTAATAAAGCAATCAACGAAGAAAACGTCCTGTCTCATCATAGTTACTTATTGTGACTGATGCCCATAATACCAAAAAAATCATCGAAAACCTTGATTACGTAATAAGATGTATACTTTGATTACTACAATAACTTGTAGAAATAAATGACAAAAAAAACATAAATGATAACAACTGATGGTTCAAATGTAATCAAAGCGTATCAACAACAGTTTTTTGCGCAGGTTTATTTACCATAAAGGTTTTAGTGTTCTTAAGTGGTTAGAAATTTCACGAGGAAAATTGTTCCAATCTAGAGATACTTTAACACTTATCTAGAAAGTAGCAAATTCTTTATTCAGAGCCACAATGACACCTATTCAGAGGGTAGAAATTTCTGGTAATTTTGGCCCTACTCAATTGAAGTTTATTATTATTCTTCAAGAATTTTGAGCTATAATAAACAGAGACCGAAAGTCCCAAATGTTGGTAAAATAATGCCAAATATTGACGAAGTTAATACCAACAAAGGTGATACTAAATGACTTAATCTAAAATGAGTGCAAATTTTAATCTCTGATAAAATAAACTCTGATAAAAATCCGTCAATCAAATTAGTGCTCAGCTCACAATCAACAACAACAACAACAAGATAATTTTTTTCCAAATCAGTACTCTCCCAAATTTATAATGTTAGAAAAATGTTAGAAAGATTTTTGTGATGTGTATATATATCTAGCTCTTCTAATTTCAACAACGTTTTTCTTATTTTGGTCATATATTTATGTCGTATATTGTTGAATACTTATACCTGAGCATTTAACGGCGTATTTCAATGTCATTAGAAAACAATTATCTTTATAACTATTGAGAAAAGATGCATTGATGTCAAAAATACCACTATTTAATATGCGCCAATACAAGTCAGCAAGGGTGAACATTAAACCTCAATCAGATGTCACCAATATTTTCATGAAATAAAAAAAATCTTGTTTATTTTTAATTGAACTTTAAACACGATTGATAACGTAAACTATTGTTATAAAAGTAATAATTTTTGAAATTGAAAATTGGAGATTTTGGGATGGTCCATAAATTACGCAACGCAAAATATATTTTAAAAATAGAAGTAGGAGGTATTAAACTCTTATGCCATGCGATTTTCATTAAACTTAATGGCTACTTTAATTTTTATTTAAATTAAGATCTGCAGGGCGAACCTTTTGATCTTTTTTGTTTTTTTTATTGTAAAACTTTGCGTTACGTTATTTATGGACGATCCCTTTACAAATTTTTTACAAAATACAATTAAAAAAAATTAATATAAAACTAACCTTAAAATCTTGTATAGGACAATATGACTTAAAAATCTGACAAAATTTGGAGAAGGAAATATGTTTATATAAATAAATTATGTTACCTTTTGTTAAACTGAAAATCGTTTTAAAATTTCATTATAATTTTTATCATTCAAATGAAACAATTGTGCAAAATTTACTAACACCCGCAAATGAGATATTTCTAAACTTTACATGATGGTGTTGTTGTTTTTCTTAAAAAAAAGTATTCCAGCGTGCCTAAATTAAATAAAAAAATAACCCGTTGTTCTGTGATGTAATGTTGACATAATTTTGTTCTTTTGTTCTTTTTATAAATTTCACACAGGTCCAAGTTTGAAAATCTTCCATGGCTTGTTTAACAGCGCTGATTACCTTGCTACCTTCACGTCCGAAAGAAATTAAGTATTTCATAAATATTTATAATCGAAATATATAAAAAAATTAAGATTTCCATAAATATTTATAATCGAAATAAAATAAAAAAATTAAATTTATCCGCAAACAAATAAAAAAGTTTTTGCAAAGAAATTACATTTCTTTCATTCATACCTGCACTTTTATGAAATACGTATGGTATAACTGGGGTACTCCAAATCATTTTCTCTGCTTCTTCAATGCGCTTAGTAATGTTATTTGATCTCCTTTCAGCAGGTTTGTAAATGTGAGATCTTTTCCCAAATCTCATAGCTCTCTCTTTCATGTTACGTGCAGCATTACTATCATACACCCAAATATCACCCTCTACTTTGCAGTATTGACAATTTTTAGGACGTGGAGATGAGCGCGACAGCAGTGCATTTGCCGAAGATACTATGTAAAAATTTTTTAACATTAAAATATACTTTTTATTTCCGAAATTATATTTTTGAGAATTACCTCTATGCAACTCTTTTATTACAAAGTATAAAACAGTCTTAGGCTAATAAAACTTGAATAAAAACAGTTCAAAACCCTTATCATTGTAATTCTTTTATATCAATTAAAAACCTTAAATATGTCCCTAAAAATCATTGAAAATTCTACAAACCATTACACTAAGCAGATAAAGGTTCTCACCAGCATTTTTCTTAACATCTGGTGTTGATTCAAAATGCTGAGGTGTTATAACTAAAAAGTATAAGAATTGAGTTACACTAAATTTCCTAAATATCTAAAAGCACAAATAAATACTAAATTAGTATTACGCAATAGTTATTATAATTACGTCCTTGTAATTATAACATTAATTATTACGTCCTTGCATTATAATTGTTATTACTTTTTTGTAGAAAGATACTAACAATTTTTTTTTTTAATAATTAAAAAAAAAAAAAAAATTAATAAAAAAAAAAAAGCATGAAAACATTTCCAAATTTTATAATACCATCTTCGTTATCCTCGCCGCTCTGATAAATTTTGATTTTTTTTGCTTCTACTAAAAGAATAAGAATACAGTAAATATATAGTAACATTTTTAATTCTTGAAAGTACGAAGCAACTGTTTGAATTAGCTACTTTGTTTTGTTGACAAGTTTAATTCGTTAGAATCAATCAGAAGATGCCGAAAGCATGAGTTTTAAATATTAGTTGCGCTTGACTGATATTTTGAAATTTTAATATTACATAAAATTTTATAGTTTTAATGATATTTTTATTGTTTTTAATTTTAAAAAGTTTTGTCAATCTTGTATTGTCAAATAGGAACGATCACACACAATAGAAAGATCAAAAGCATGGCAATAATGGAAAAATTGACCATGGTGGTTAATTTTTAGGTGAACAAATAATGTTTAAACGGTAATTCAAAAATTACTAAAATTTTTAAATACCTGTAATTAAGTAAAAATGATTTAAGTCCGTGTGTACTTTTTTGACCATTGTTTTAAGCTTCTTTATGTTACCTTTCTAAATCTTAACTTTTTATCTTTCGCACTTGGTATTTTCCTTCTTTAAAATCATTTTATCACATAAGATCGCACTGATAAGCTTTAAAAGAAGTAAACTGTTGTGTGTTTATGAGCTTATCGCACAAGACAATTCCAAAAGAAAATTAGAAGAAGAAAAATAATCCACAGTACAACATTTATTCAATGTGGGTTTTATATTTTATTATTTATTTGGATGTAAAACTTAATAAGTTTCAACTCAATAATAATTCATTTATAAATAAATTTAAAATCAATAATTTCTAGCCACTTTTACATTTATTATTTTAAAAATAATAAATGTAAAAGCGTAATATAAACAAACTTTTGTACATAAATAGTTTACCTTACGATAAATATAATTATATAAAATTTCTAACAAAATTAAAGTTACCATGTTTTTAGTCACCAATTTTTGAGATGCTTGCTAAAAGACATATTTCTTTTGAACTTAATTCTGATTTTATAAAGAAATTTACAAATTAAAAGAAGTTCTGATCAATTTACAAAATGCACATAAATGCATACACAGTTTTAACAATATTATTTTCCAATATCATTTGCATTTCGAGCGATATAAAAATGCTTTAGAATTTAAATAAAATCATAAAAACTTTAAAAATAATAAACATTTAAGTTTAGGAGACAATATTTCAAGTAAGTTTTCGAAGCTTCGTAAAGTCTTCATATATTTTTAAACTGAATTTTTAAAAATTACTTAGCTTAAATTAGCTTATTATTTCGTATTTTATAACAGAGCAACCTCACTCTTCATTGAAGATTTTAGAGCTTTTGATCAGAATTAGGATGTGGCCAGAAATTGGTCAGTTTACTCTGTAGTTTTTTTAATTTAAACAAAAAAAATTTCTATTTTTACAATCATTGACATCTTTTTTTCAACATCTTTGCTTTCAACAAGGCTGCAAGAAACCACTATTAGAGTTGAAAGTTACTGAAAAAGAAAATATAAAGTTTATAGAGCAAGACAATGATTGACAGACAACCTAAAAGATTTCAAATTATATAAATCAGGAAAGCAAGATGATGGAAGCGAATTCCAAAGAAATGAATAAAACTAGACGAGTAAGTGTTGTTGAAGCACTTATGAAAAATTACAGAAAAAGAATGAGACTTAATTAAATGACGAGTAATTTATAGAGATAAAGAATAGAATCCGGAGTTAAAAAGTGTCTAGGATGATAAAGAGATGCAGCTTTAGCAGATGCTAATTTTGCAATCGATTTGCATAGCGGGCTTTGGTGTTAGACAAAACCCTTCTACAATAGTCTCTAGTAAACAAACAACTGTTATATCAGTTGAACAATTCTTGAGAATTGTTTTGCTGATAGAAATGAAAGTAATGGTTTCTATTGGAAATTGCAGCACAAAAACGTGAGGAAAACAACGGAGAAGAATGAGTCTTGACTTAGAATCATCGAGAGGAAATGAAAGTTTTCATCCTGAGTCCAAGAAGTTATGTATGAAGCACATTTGTCAGTAGAATGACAAAAGATTTATTTCCAAGGGCTATCAGGTAGAAAATCACGGAAAGAGTCCCAGTCAGCTTTAATGTAGTTGTAAGAGGTACGATGATAGGAGGATTCTGACAATGAAGAAGAATGAGATAATAGTTTTAGAGAGAACTAACCGTGATTAGAAGCACCTAAAGGTGTTCTATTATTATGTTGGTGAATTGTACGTGTTAGAAATCACGTAGATGCGTGTTGAAAGTCACGCATCTACGTAAGTTATTTCAACTGTAATTAACAGTATATTCTCATGGGACTTTTTAATTTAATATATATAGAAAAAAGATTTTTGTATAGGAGGTTAGAAAGAATATATAAAGCTATAGATTATAAACGTTATTAAATTAAATGGACGCGACGATAAAACAAAAGGTGAATGTGGAGAAACTGAGTGCTGACTAGGATCAGAAACAAGATATTAGTCGAGTAGAGAAGGTAAATGATTCGGGTTATCTGGAAAGCGAGTTAAAAAATTGACTATTTGAGTAAAAGATAGAGAAAGACAAATGTTGTGGGTCTTAATCCCTGCAGAGTTACCGACATTAGAGCCAAGTCATTCGTTTAATGAGCATTAAATTCACCAACAACAACGATATTGGCTAATGGATAAAGAGAGAGGACTTGAGAAGTTTGATCAGAAATAGAGTGCAGTTTTGAGGTGAAGAGAAAGGCGATATAGTGAAGTGGTGCTAAACAAAAGCACATAAAAGAATAGTCTGTGGATTTAAATCTAGTTTCCCGACAAATGGGTGAATTCTTACGAATGTAAATGCCCGAGCCAAGCATGTAACTATCGGAGTCTTTACGAATTAAAGGAAGATAACCATCAACGCCAATATCACAAGATGAGAAAGCTGAACTCAAATTAGTTTCACAAAGAGCAAGTAGGTCTGGTGAACTTTGCAAAAGATAAGACTCAACAGAAGAAAAGTTACTCAAATGACCACGATTATTAGTGAATGATAGGTTTAGAGAACTTGGTGATGACGATTGGTTTTTGTGTTTTATAGTTTTTGGTACTTTAGTTATTTTTAAATTTGTTAAAGAACTTAACTCAAAGCATAAATACCATTCAGTACACTATTTAATAGTTCCTGCAATTGCCTCATTACTATTAAAAAACCCTAAGCCGTAACAAAGGGCTCCAAATGCGGACTCGACCAAGTCCAAGACTCGAGGGTACAATTTAAGTCTTCGACTTGGAGGCGTTCTACAAGACAGTAGCCTGACGCGTTTAACATCTGTCCAAGATGATTTGTTATATAAACAGATATTAACGATCTCAACACTACAATTCGGTTATATGTTTATATACGTTCTCAAAGTTATTTTTAGAACATTTTTATCAGCAAAACTGATTTCAGCTACTTTTTTTAAGTGTATCAAATTTTTTAGCACAGCAACGCGCTTAACAAATATTTTCTCACTAACTCTGACTTGAATTTATGGTAAAATAAATTGACAATGAGAAACTCTTCAGCTGCTTGTCAAATTACAACTAAGTTCAGAAAAACTCTTGCTAAATGTGCAAATGCATGCTTTGTTTATATTTGACTTAAAAACTTTTTGTGATTTTAACTTAGGTTTAATTTAGAAATTTATATATAAATATGTTAAAAATTTATTTTATTGATTCAAGCATTTAGTTTTTCACTGTTAACAAGTAACTCTAATTAGGAAAAAAAAACTCGACTAAATAAATCTAGAAATTGTTTTTAAATACTTAGAAGATTTTCTTTTTTTGGCAGATCTTTATCAAAAATCTGGAATAATTAAAATACTAAAAACTTTCCTTAACCCATTATAGGTATCATAAAAGTTGATAATTGCAAAACTTACACAAATTGTAAAATTTTTCTTCTGCAATATATTCTTTTTGAGCAACGAGACTAAATTAGTGAATTAAGGCATTTATTGACATTTTGAGTCAAGCCATGCAAGCATGTATTAAGGTATTTATCTTTATTTAGTTTTTGAAAAATTTTAACCCATCATAACAGTCGGTAATGTGAGTTTTGAAATACATAAGCTTTTGCCACTTTACTTAATTGCCATTTCCACTAGCGATGACACTTTTACTCATTTTGACGTAAAAACGCTAATTACTTTTAAGCGTAAATTACTGTACATAACTCATATAGAAATATATAATTTACTTACATTTAAAGTTAGTTCGTTTGTTTTTTTTACATCAATTATAACATGTAAAACTTAATTAAGTTAAGTTTTTTAAATGAGTGACTGTTACTTGAAAAAATAATTTAATTAAAGTAAAAGTTATTTTTACTTTTACTTGTAAATGTAACTTTTAATGTCGTGTAAATGTAACTTACTTTTAATGTCGTGTAAATGTAACTTACTTTTAATGGTAAGTCGTGTAAAGTAATTTATTTTGAAAAGTAATTTTGGTAATAATTATAAAAAATTTACATCGAAATGTAATTTACTTTTTATATGTAATAAAAGTTATTTATGAAGTAAATTTACGTAAATATAATATTTAAAAAACATAACACTTACTTAACAAAGTAAAATAAAACTACATCATAACAACAAATTACTTTTACGTGTTTCAAGGCATTTCCGGGTAATTTTTCAGGTAATACTCTGATGTATGTGGGCAGTTTTTATGGTGGGACATTAGAAAAAGATTTTTTTCACTTATATCATAAAGGAGAGTTCTATTATAATTAGGGGCAAATATAGTCAACATGCGGGTATACCATTAGTGTTGAAACAGGCTCCCTGTTGTATGAGTGCTAATTGGGACTGCTAAATAATCATTGATTTTTTATATCTTTTTTTTGTTGAGCAGAAATAGGTTAATGGCCATAACGTAAATTCGGTGAAAAGTAAGAAAGGGGTATAGGTAATTCATGCATGTGTAAACTTTGACTAAGTCACTGTTCGTTAGAACGCGCTTTTTCTCCAGTTTTTTTTCTTGGTATTTACTTTTTCAATCAAGTATTTTGTTATGGTAATATGACGCAGTATAACATTTTTAGACATCCGCGAGGACATCGACTGCTAAAGCAGTTTTCAAAAAATTATAAGTCATTTAAACAATCTGATATAATTTATATGATTAAAGGAGTGTTTATCAGATATAATCTTTTATCGAGTTTTATCATATATAATCTATTTGAAAAAAGATGGTAAAGAAAGCTGTTCGATCTTCTACTATAGGTTTTAAGTACTCTATAACCTCCTTTTTATTGTGTTGGTATCCAACCCGCACAAGGATGATTAGAAAAATAAAATCTTATTCGTAATTTTTTTTAAACGTTAATTTGACTTTACATGTTGATTGGCGTCTATTAATTTTCCCGGGATTGGGATTAAT